TATGTCAGCCGATCCCAAAATAACTGTCTTCCATGGGGTCGATAAATATCACCGGGACAGTCAGTTTTCGTCTACCGGACTATTACCGTCCTAGGGTCGCACACGATTCCACGTGAACGGCTCCTATTGAGCTACCAGCTCTTTCACAGCCTTCCTCGTCGGGGACCACTGCAAGACATGCTCATGTCTTGGATGTCCGCACGACTCTCAAGGCCTATATCAGCAGAAATATGGGTGTCCGTAAGGATAACCAACTATTTTGCTGTTACTGCGGTAGGAAGGTTGGCTCACCTGCGAGTAAACAATCTATCTCGAGGTGGATAGTTTCAAACATTTGTACAGCGTATACGCTTACAGGCAGGGACCCCCCTACCAGGTTGAAGGCTCATTAGGTTAGAGCAGTGGCTGCGTCAAAAGCGTACGCCGCGGCTCTGCCCATTGAGCAGATCTGCTCCGCGGCTATTTGGAGCCAGCCGAGCACGATTCATCAAACCTTACCAACTCGACAAACACTCAAGCGAGCGTACTCGGTTTGGTCAGTCAGTTCTCCGAACTGGGCAAAGTTCTAATCTCTAGCTGATTGAGCATTCGAGATTTTAGACAGTCTTCCGGTTATACTGCTCAGTAATGGTCCGGATTTTATCTTCTGCGGTCGATAAATATCAGTCCTTACTACTCGATAATACTCGTATTTTGCGCACGCACTCCTTCGATCCTCGGGGACCCTCTGGCCTAGCTCAGCGCTGGTTATGGTCTCTCGTGATCTACGCCCTTATATCACTTGTTCAAAAAAGTGTGGGGGGGTGGGAGGTGTTTTGAGTTCTCAACTTATGACAAGCCGCAAAAACAGGCTTTATCATAATATATGGTCGACCACGCCCTGTCTCTAGCCCCCGCCTTTCGACGGTGGTGCCTCACGATAAGGTTGGTTCCATTTATTGAACTCAATATTTTATTCTGTTGAATAATCAAATACGATGTATTTATTTACGCCTGTTGCTGACGGATGCCACTTCCTAGATTATCTTTGGGAGTCTGTCTTGATGCAATAAGTGCCCCAAGGAGGATTTAATCAGAAAGAGAATTTTACAAACCTGTAGAGGTTATGAATTCTCTGATGAAATCCTCCTTGGGGCACGGCCACCCACCTCCCCACATTCCGTCAGCATTTGACATATGGAAAGTGATTTGGGTGAGAGTTGCTCCCCCTGGCTTGAGGCGCCGTTGGGGGTGAGGCCCCGTAAGGGTGGTCGTATATCATACAAAAACGAAGTTTTTTGTGTGGTAACATTTTTTATTAAGGAAAATGGTTACAACTATGTCATATAGATTTTCTTGAGCAAGGAAAATGCAATAAGTGCCCCAAGGAGGATTTCATCAGAGAATTCATAACCTCTACAGGTTTGTAAAACTTTCTACATTGCATGGTCCCCGGCATCCAGAGGGAGGTAGGCTTGCTTACTTTCTACACTGCATGGCCCCCGGCATCCGGAGGGAGGTAGGCTTGTTTGCTTTCTACACTGCATGGCCCCCGGCATCCGGAGGGAGGTAGGCTTGCTTACTTTCTACACTGCATGGCCCCCGACATCCGGAGGGAGGTAGGCTTGCTTACTTTCTACACTGCATGGCCCCCAGCATCCGGAGGGAGGTAGGCTTGCTTACTTTCTACACTGCATGGCCCCCAGCATCCAGAGGGAGGTAGGCTTGTTTGCTTTCTACACCGCATGGTCCCCGGCATCCAGAGGGAGGTAGGCTTCCTTACTTTCTACACTGCATGGTCCCCAGCATCCGGAGGGAGGTAGGCTTGTTTGCTTTCTACACTGCATGGCCCCCAGCATCCGGAGGGAGGTAGGCTTGCTTACTTTCTACACTGCATGGCCCCCGGCATCCGGAGGGAGGTAGGCTTGCTTACTTTCTACAGGGCATGGCCCCCAGCATCCGGAGGGAGGTAGGCTTGCTTACTTTCTACACTGCATGGCCCCCGGCATCCGGAGGGAGGTAGGCTTGCTTACTTTCTACACCGCATGGTCCCCGGCATCCAGAGGGAGGTAGGCTTGCTTACTTTCTACACTGCATGGCCCCCAGCATCCGGAGGGAGGTAGGCTTGTTTGCTTTCTACACTGCATGGTCCCCGGCATCCAGAGGGAGGTAGGCTTGCTTACTTTCTACACTGTATGGCCCCCGGCATCCAGAGGGAGGTAGGCTTGCTTACTTTCTACACTGCATGGCCCCCGGCATCCGGAGGGAGGTAGGCTTCCTTACTTTCTACACTGCATGGTCCCCGGCATCCGGAGAGAGGTAGGCTTGTTTACTTTCTACACGGCATGGCCCCCGGCATCCGGAGGGAGGTAGGCTTGTTTACTTTCTACACTGCATGGCCCCCGGCATCCAGAGGGAGGTAGGCTTGTTTACTTTCTACACGGCATGGCCCCCGGCATCCGGAGGGAGGTAGGCTTCTTTACTTTCTACATTGCATGGTCCCCGGCATCCGGAGGGAGGTAGGCTTCCTTACTTTCTACACTGCATGGTCCCCGGCATCCGGAGAGAGGTAGGCTTGTTTACTTTCTACACGGCATGGCCCCCGGCATCCGGAGGGAGGTAGGCTTCCTTACCTTCTACACTGCATGGTCCCCGGCATCCAGAGGGAGGTAGGCTTGTTTACTTTCTACACGGCATGGCCCCCGGCATCCGGAGGGAGGTAGGCTTCCTTACTTTCTACACTGCATAGTCCCCGGCATCCAGAGGGAGGTAGGCTTCCTTACTTTCTACATTGCATGGTCCCCGGCATCCGGAGGGAGGTAGGCTTCCTTACTCTCTACACTGCATGGTCCCCGGCATCCGGAGGGAGGTAGGCTTCCTTACTTTCTATACTGCATGGTCCCCAGCATCCGGAGGGAGGTAGGCTTGCTTACTTTCTATACTGCATGGCCCCCGGCATCTGGAGGGAGGTAGGCTTCCTTACTTTCTACACTGCATGGTCCCCGGCATCCGGAGGGAGGTAGGCTTCCTTACTTTCTACATTGCATGGTCCCCGGCATCCGGAGGGAGGTAGGCTTCCTTACTTTCTACACTGCATGGTCCCCGGCATCGGGAGAGAGGTAGGCTTGTTTACTTTCTACACGGCATGGCCCCCGGCATCCGGAGGGAGGTAGGCTTCCTTACCTTCTACACTGCATGGTCCCCGGCATCCAGAGGGAGGTAGGCTTGTTTACTTTCTACACGGCATGGCCCCCGGCATCCGGAGGGAGGTAGGCTTCCTTACTTTCTACACTGCATGGTCCCCGGCATCCAGAGGGAGGTAGGCTTCCTTACTTTCTACATTGCATGGTCCCCGGCATCCGGAGGGAGGTAGGCTTCCTTACTCTCTACACTGCATGGTCCCCGGCATCCGGAGGGAGGTAGGCTTCCTTACTTTCTATACTGCATGGTCCCAAGCATCTGGAGGGAGGTAGGCTTGCTTACTTTCTATACTGCATGGCCCCCGGCATCTGGAGGGAGGTAGGCTTGCTTACTTTCTACACTGCATGGTCCCCGGCATCCGGAGGGAGGTAGGCTTCCTTACTTTCTACATTGCATGGTCCCCGGCATCCGGAGGGAGGTAGGCTTCCTTACTCTCTACACTGCATGGTCCCCAGCATCCGGAGGGAGGTAGGCTTGCTTACTTTCTATACTGCATGGCCCCCGGCATCTGGAGGGAGGTAGGCTTCCTTACTTTCTACACTGCATGGTCCCCGGCATCCGGAGGGAGGTAGGCTTCCTTACTTTCTACACTGCATGGTCCCCGGCATCCGGAGGGAGGTAGGCTTCCTTACTTTCTACATTGCATGGTCCCCGGCATCCGGAGGGAGGTAGGCTTCCTTACTCTCTACACTGCATGGTCCCCGGCATCCGGAGGGAGGTAGGCTTCCTTACTCTCTACACTGCATGGTCCCCAGCATCCGGAGGGAGGTAGGCTTGTTTGCTTTCTACACTGCATGGCCCCCAGCATCCGGAGGGAGGTAGGCTTGCTTACTTTCTACACTGCATGGCCCCCGGCATCCGGAGGGAGGTAGGCTTGCTTACTTTCTATAGGGCATGGCCCCCAGCATCCGGAGGGAGGTAGGCTTGCTTACTTTCTACACTGCATGGCCCCCGGCATCCGGAGGGAGGTAGGCTTCCTTACTTTCTATACTGCATGGCCCCCGGCATCCGGAGGGAGGTAGGCTTGCTTACTTTCTACACTGCATGGTCCCCGGCATCCGGAGGGAGGTAGGCTTCCTTACTTTCTACACTGCATGGCCCCGGCATCCGGAGGGAGGTAGGCTTGCTTACTTGGCTTACAACTGAGAATATGCATCAAAACACAACAAACAAAGAAGAAAAAAACGTGTTGCATTACAATCAAACCTTTAATATATGCACACATATTCTTTGCAAAACTAACAAAGATTCTTGAAGTCTGTCAAGCAAAGTCCAGCACTTCTGTCATATATGATGATTAACTGGCTACCCATGCATTTTATAATCATTGGGTATCAGTAATTCTATCTGCGTATTTAAATTTCTGTTACCCACTAGTTTTTACACATGTGGGTATTTAAGCTAAATGTTTAAAAACACTATTCATCTAGTCCCTACAAACTGGTGTCGTGTGGGTTCGAGAGCTTTATAGGACTAAAAAATACCACGATACTTCCACAAGAAAGTGTGATGGCAAATGATCATGATGTAACTGTCATCGTGGAGTTTGGCAAGGTTGACAGAATGCCCGTTATAATTTCAAAATAAGTTGCTGATTTGCTAATCGAATACGCAGGGTTACTTCACAATATTTTGATGAAACGCACAAGTTTGATTTTTGTAGCGTATCTGTAATGTTCATTGCGTATTTGATATGCTTAGATTATATTTTACTGTGTATTTCTGCATTTCTGATGCATATTTCACGCAGATACGCAGCTTATCTGGAGCTCTGTGCCATCACTGATGGGCTCTTGCTGTAGTAGTTTTATCTGCTGTAGGTGATTCGAGTCCTGGGACTGCTTGGAGCTCTGGACCCCCACAAGCACAAGCTGAACCTGGGCCTCATCTCGGAGAGCGAGGCTGCGGTCAGCAAGTCTGACCATACCAAAGCTGAGAAGGATGCCAGTAACACAGGTAAGTTTGGTCATGGCCCCAGGTCTCGCTGCAAAGGACTTGACAATTCATGATACTGAAAGACAATTCCCAGGCAAGGCCTTCTTTAGGTTCTATGAGCCCGTGGCAAGGAAAGTGAAGACAAAGATATATATATTACATATGCTGCTGTTGTTACTTGTTGTTTAATGCTGCTCTCAGCAATATTCCATCTAAATGGCGGCAGTCTGTAAATACTCAATGATTAACATAATGAACAAAGATCTGCATTTGGAGTTCGATGACTTGAAGTCAACAAAGTCATCAAGCCTGACCACCCAATCCATTTAGTCGCCTCTTACGACAAACAGAGGTTACTGGGACCTATATCATGTTGTCTAAAGAAACAAAACAACACATGAAAAGATTGCTAGATTTTGGAACCGATTGTAAGATGGAGTGAACGTGATATGACAAGTATCTATATTAGCTTCTTGTACCAGTTATCAGATGTGTTTCAGAGAGGGCATGGTTGGTGTCCTAGGCACTGCAACTTGCTTTGCACAGTTAAACTGAAATACTATTCCAAGCCAAACCAAAATCACTTGCCTACTTTGTGATACTGACACTGATACTGTGATTCCAGATGTCAGATTACCACATGCCATTTTATGAGAGTGATTTTCTTTGGTGATTAATTTGAAATATACAGTGCATCAGTTATCGGTTATAATTGTTTTATCTGACTGTCTGACATTGTATTACTTCTTTACTTTGCAGAATTGAACACCAGTGAAATGCTGGCAAACATGAGCGCCACCACAACCCTGGAGGAGTTCTATCCAGCCATTGCCATAGCAACACTGATGAAGATCATCCGTGACCCGTCCCTGTCCCAGCACCACACAATGGTGGTCCAGGCTATCACCTTCATCTTCAAGAGTCTGGGCATCAAGTGCGTCCCGTACATTCAGCAGGTCATACCTGCATACCTCACCGTCATCAGATCTGCAGATCCAAACTTTAGGGAGGTGAGTTGTGCTGTTGTATAAACTCAACGTAGTGTAAGATGTGGCTCTGTGTGATTTGTATTGTAGCTAAGTGGAAACTGTAGTCATTTAGGACACACAGGTGTGAGTCTGAATCCTGTCCGCATGGATAATGTGGAGACCATTCTTGCCTCTCAGTACAACCACCATGCATGACAGCATTTTGTGTCAGCTCCACAGGTGAACATGTCCACTCTCCCATTGTCTACAAACTACAACAAATATGATTTTTAACAAGTCAAAGTATGCCATTTATGATATATGTATCCATTCTCTGTCAACTAAAGTTTGTTTCAAGGCGTCAATAGCGGTAATCTGACCGCGGTTGCTGTTAATAAAAGTAAGTTGTGCGATCTTCCAATCGCTTGACACACGATGTCACCTAAATTTATTGAAGCAATATTAAAAGGAATTTTGAATAAAATCATTGAAATAGGTTACAACACAAGTCCAGACATACAATGAACGCTTTTTATAACCAGACAGTGTTATTACAAAATGATTACATTGCGTATTCCGGTACAGATTTGTTGACATGGTATTTCCAGTGTTACATGCTCACGGTAATGTCTTTGCATGTGAAAAAACATCAAAACTCATTATGGCATGTATAATGCGCACCCCCTTCTACACAGATTGTTCTTCTTTTTTTTTAAAGTGTGCACTATACTCAAGAAAATACGGTGACCAGGGCCGGAAGTGGTGCCTTTTGCTATTGTGGTGGCCGGAGGAATTTGTCATCTTCTGATGACTGTTGTTTATAATGATGGTTTGTCAGTGGAGTGAATTGAAACACCACAACCATATCTTAGTCATTCAAGTATTTGAATTAAAATTTCATCAATCTAAAGTTATATTTCAGATCTAGTTTTGTGAGAAGAATGTAATTGTTTAGTTTAACATTTGTTGAGTGATTTTCTCCTCCCTCCACTAGTTCCTGTTCCAACAACTGGGAGTCATCATTGCTATCGTCAAGCAGCACATCAAGAACTACCTGGAGGACATCTTCTGTCTCATCAAGGTGGGTACACACGCACTTGTTGTTGTAATCTGTTGCCCCAGTGAAGACATGGGCCAAGTAGGTGTCCTATTTCTGTAGCTTGCGAAGGGACAACAGCGGCATGTTTACGATGGATGCCGAGTGTGGGTGTTACTGTATATCATCTTACCATCTCACAACTGTGACAAACTTACTGTAACTAGCAAGCAACAATACTGCGCCAAAAGGAAAGACAAAACATGCCGCGAAACACATAAGCAAATTCAAGATGGCGGATTGAAACAAAATGCAAAGGCGAATGAAGATATTTTATGAACAAATCTGTACTTTTACAGGGAAGGACAAATTTACGCAAATATGGGAATAAACAACACCATAGGTTAATCCAAAACTGGACAATTTGTTAGAGCAGCATGTGATGTGGAGTTTACATGGCATCATCACATCGGAGTCACATGGTCTCATCTGCTGGTTCCTGCCTCACACTTCAGTGAAACAACTTTCTATCTCAGCAGTCAATGCATTAAGGAGTAGTGCAGGATAGGCATCAAATGTAACACATATTTAGATTTTACTAACTTTCTTGTGTCCTTTGTGCTGCAGGAGTTCTGGACCCCCAACAGCCCCATGCAGAGCACAATCATCCTGCTGATTGAGCAGATCGTCAATGCCCTGGGCACCGAGTTCAAGGTGTACCTGCCCCAGATTGTGCCGCAGATACTGCGGGTGTTCATGCATGACACCAGCCAGGACAGAGTCGTCACAGCCAAGGTCAGCTCACCACAGCTCACACAGGCTCCGGTTCAGTTTCATAGTAGCATCTCTATTCTGATATGAGATGTTTTATGGTTTCTACCTCCAATTAAGTAACCCATGGAATACTTCAGGTTTGGCGTTGCTGGACAAGTCTTGAGTATCTGTTGATCATAATGAGACTATGTTGTGTTGTTCCAGCTCCTGAATGCACTCCAACTGTTCGGTGCCAACCTGGATGACTATCTACACCTCCTCCTACCACCAGTTGTCAAACTGTTTGACTCTGCTGATATTCCTATAGCAGTCAGAAAGTAAGTTCTATGTTGGAACCGTGGGGCCTAACCTTACTAATGCTGGATTTCTCTGCCTTGCCCTCTGTGTCACCTCAGTTAATACCTGTGTTCTGTCTCACCCTCTGTGTCACCTCACTAATACCTGTGTTCTGTCTCACCCTCTGTGTCACCTCACTAATACCTGTGTTCTGCCTCACCCTCTGTGTCACCTCACTGATACCTGTGTTCTGTCTCGCCCTCTGTGTCACATCACTAATACCTGTGTTCTGTCTCACCCTCTGTGTCACCTCACTAATACCTGTGTTCTGCCTCATCCACTCTGTCACCTCACTAATACCTGTGTTCTGTCTCGCCCTCTCTGTCACCTCACTAATACCTGTGTTCTGCCTCACCCTCTGTGTCACCTCACTAATACCTGTGTTCTGTCTCACCCTCTGTGTCACCTCACTAATACCTGTGTTCTGCCTCACCCTCTGTGTCACCTCACTAATACCTGTGTTCTGTCTCACCCTCTGTGTCACCTCACTAATACCTGTGTTCTGCCTCACCCTCTGTGTCACCTCACTAATACCTGTGTTCTGTCTCACCCTCTGTGTCACCTCACTAATACCTGTGTTCTGTCTCACCCTCTGTGTCACCTCACTAATACCTGTGTTCTGTCTCACCCTCTGTGTCACCTCACTAATACCTGTGTTCTGTCTCACCCTCTGTGTCACCTCACTAATACCTGTGTTCTGCCTCACCCTCTGTGTCACCTCACTAATACCTGTGTTCTGTCTCACCCTCTCTGTCACCTCACTAATACCTGTGTTCTCTGCCTCACCCTCTCTGTCACCTCACTAATACCTGTGTTCTGCCTCACCCTCTGTGTCACCTCACTAATACCTGTGTTCTGTCTCACCCTCTGTGTCACCTCACTAATACCTGTGTTCTGCCTCACCCTCTGTGTCACCTCACTAATACCTGTGTTCTGTCTCACCCTCTGTGTCACCTCACTAATACCTGTGTTCTGTCTCACCCTCTGTGTCACCTCACTAATACCTGTGTTCTGTCTCACCCTCTGTGTCACCTCACTAATACCTGTGTTCTGTCTCACCCTCTGTGTCACCTCACTAATACCTGTGTTCTGCCTCACCCTCTGTGTCACCTCACTAATACCTGTGTTCTGTCTCACCCTCTCTGTCACCTCACTAATACCTGTGTTCTCTGCCTCACCCTCTCTGTCACCTCACTAATACCTGTGTTCTGTCTCACCCTCTGTGTCACCTCACTAATACCTGTGTTCTGTCTCACCCTCTGTGTCACCTCACTAATACCTGTGTTCTGTCTCACCCTCTGTGTCACCTCACTAATACCTGTGTTCTGTCTCACCCTCTGTGTCACCTCACTAATACCTGTGTTCTGCCTCACCCTCTGTGTCACCTCACTAATACCTGTGTTCTGTCTCACCCTCTCTGTCACCTCACTAATACCTGTGTTCTCTGCCTCACCCTCTCTGTCACCTCACTAATACCTGTGTTCTGTCTCACCCTCTGTGTCACCTCACTAATACCTGTGTTCTGTCTCACCCTCTGTGTCACCTCACTAATACCTGTGTTCTGTCTCACCCTCTGTGTCACCTCACTAATACCTGTGTTCTGTCTCACCCTCTGTGTCACCTCACTAATACCTGTGTTCTGCCTCACCCTCTGTGTCACCTCACTAATACCTGTGTTCTGTCTCACCCTCTCTGTCACCTCACTAATACCTGTGTTCTCTGCCTCACCCTCTCTGTCACCTCACTAATACCTGTGTTCTGCCTCACCCTCTCTGTCACCTCACTAATACCTGTGTTCTGCCTCACCCTCTGTGTCACCTCACTAATACCTGTGTTCTGTCTCGCCCTCTCTGTCACCTCACTAATACCTGTGTTCTGTCTCACCGTCTCTGTCACCTCACTAATACCGGTGTTCTGCCTCATCCACTCTGTCACCTCACTAATACCTGTGTTCTGTCTCACCCTCTCTGTCACCTCACTAATACCTGTGTTCTGTCTCACCGTCTCTGTCACCTCACTAATACCTGTGTTCTGTCTCACCCTCTCTGTCACCTCACTAATACCTGTGTTCTGCCTCATCCACTCTGTCACCTCACTAATACCTGTGTTCTGTCTCACCCTCTGTGTCACCTCCCTAATACCTGTGTTCTGTCTCACCCTCTGTGTCACTTCACTAATACCTGTGTTCACTGCCTCACCCTCTGTGTCACCTCACTAATACCTGTGTTCTGTCTCACCCTCTGTGTCACCTCACTTATACCTGTGTTCTGTCTCACCGTCTCTGTCACCTCACTAATACCTGTGTTCTGTCTCACCCTCTCTGTCACCTCACTAATACCTGTGTTCTGTCTCACCGTCTCTGTCACCTCACTAATACCTGTGTTCTGTCTCACCCTCTGTGTCACCTCACTAATACCGGTGTTCTGTCTCACCGTCTCTGTCACCTCACTAATACCTGTGTTCTGCCTCATCCACTCTGTCACCTCACTAATACCTGTGTTCTGTCTCACCCTCTCTGTCACCTCACTAATACCTGTGTTCTGCCTCACCCTCTGTGTCACCTCACCAATACCTGTGTTCTGTCTCACCCTCTGTGTCACCTCACTAATACCTGTGTTCTGTCTCACCCTCTGTGTCACCTCACTAATACCTGTGTTCTGTCTCACCCTCTGTGTCACCTCACTAATACCTGTGTTCTCTGCCTCACCCTCTGTGTCACCTGACTAATACCTGTGTTCTGTCTCACCCTCTGTGTCACCTCACTAATACCTGTGTTCTCTGCCTCACCCTCTGTGTCACCTCACTAATACCTGTGTTCTGTCTCACCCTCTGTGTCACCTCACTATTACCTGTGTTCACTGCCTCACCCTCTGTGTCACCTCACTAATACCTGTGTTCTGTCTCACCCTCTCTGTCACCTCACTAATACCTGTGTTCTGCCTCATCCACTCTGTCACCTCACTAATACCTGTGTTCTGTCTCACCCTCTCTGTCACCTCCCTAATACCTGTGTTCTGCCTCATCCACTCTGTCACCTCACTAATACCTGTGTTCTGTCTCACCCTCTCTGTCACCTCACTAATACCTGTGTTCTGTCCCACCCTCTCTGTCACCTCACTAATACCTGTGTTCTGTCTCACCCTCTCTGTCACCTCCCTAATACCTGTGTTCTGCCTCATCCACTCTGTCACCTCACTAATACCTGTGTTCTGTCTCACCCTCTCTGTCACCTCCCTAATACCTGTGTTCTGCCTCATCCACTCTGTCACCTCACTAATACCTGTGTTCTGTCTCACCCTCTCTGTCACCTCACTAATACCTGTGTTCTGCCTCACCCTCTGTGTCACCTCACTAATACCTGTGTTCTGCCTCACCCTCTGTGTCACCTCACTAATACCTGTGTTCTGTCTCACCCTCCCTGTCACCTCACTAATACCTGTGTTCTGTCCCACCCTCTCTGTCACCTCACTAATACCTGTGTTCTCTGCCTCACCCTCTCTGTCACCTCACTAATACCTGTGTTCTGCCTCACCCTCTCTGTCACCTCACCAATACCTGTGTTCTGCCTCATCCACTCTGTCACCTCACCAATACCTGTGTTCTGTCTCACCCTCTCTGTCACCTCACTAATACCTGTGTTCTCTGCCTCACCCTCTCTGTCACCTCACTAATACCTGTGTTCTGCCTCACCCTCTCTGTCACCTCACCAATACCTGTGTTCTGTCTCACCCACTCTGTCGCTTCACTAATACCTGTGTTCTCTGCCTCACCCTCTGTGTCCTCCACTAATACCTGTGTTCTCTGCCTCACCCTAACAGAATGGCTCTGGAGACTATTGACCGCTTGACCGATGCCCTGGACCTGACCGACTACGCATCGCGGATCATCCACCCACTGGTGCGTACGCTGGATACCTGCACTGTATTGCAGACCACGGTGATGGACACGCTCTGTGCCCTGGTGTTGCAACTCGGACACAAGTTTACTATCTTCGTCTCCATGGTCAACAAAGTGACAGCAAAGAACAGGATCACACATCAGCGCTACAACATCCTCATGTGCAGACTACTGAAGGTAGATTAACTGGAAAATCTCTCTAAAGTATGTTATGGACATATCTCCATATATATTTATAAAAGTATTTCTACCTTATTTTCAGCCTATCATTATCGTTCACTTGTCAGACTGTGGTTGATTCTCAGGAAGGTGTTGTACTGTTCCAGGACATCAGTTTGTGTTGTACTGTTCCAGGACATCAGTTTGTGTTGTACTGTTCCAGGACATCAGTTTGTGTTGTACTGTTCCAGGACAGCAGTTTGTGTTGTACTGTTCCAGGACAGCAGTTTGTGTTGTACTGTCCCAGGGCATCAGTTTGTGTTGTACTGTTCCAGGGCATCAATTTGTGTTGTACTGTTCCAGGACAGCAGTTTGTGTTGTACTGTTCCAGGGCATCAGTTTGTGTTGTACTGTCCCAGGGCATCAGTTTGTGTTGTACTGTTCCAGGACAGCAGTTTGTGTTGTACTGTTCCAGGGCATCAGTTTGTGTTGTACTGTTCCAGGGCATCAGTTTGTGTTGTACTGTTCCAGGTCATCAGTTTGTGTTGTACTGTTCCAGGGCATCAGTTTGTGTTGTACTGTTCCAGGGCATCAGTTTGTACTGTTGTATTCCAGGACATCAGTTTGTGTTGTACTGTTCCAGGACATAAGTTTGTGTTGTACTGTCCCAGGGCATCAGTTTGTGTTGTACTGTTCCAGGACATCAGTTTGTGTTGTACTGTTCCAGGACATAAGTTTGTGTTGTACTGTCCCAGGGCATCAGTTTGTGTTGTACTGTTCCAGGACATCAGTTTGTGTTGTACTGTTCCAGGGCACCACCATAGCCGAGGAGGAGGATGACCCAGTGTTAATCAAACACAAGAAGAACCGTCTGAAGGCGCCACAGTCTTCAGATCAAACAACAGAAACTGCCACCATCAAGAAATTACATGTCAACTTTAACCACATGCAGAGAGTAAGTGATCAGGGTTTTTAAAGTGTATAGGAAATACAGTAAAACATGGATATAATGAACTACAAGGCTGCATTAGCAGTGATCACTTCATAGCATTCAATTGATAACATTGCATAACATTCATTTAAGTATAACAAGGTTGAACCGTCACCGCTGATTGTGTTGATTCGCCACGATTGTGTTGATTCACGGCTGATTGCGTACAGCCAATTGTCAGTGACACTTGACACTGAGTAAGATTTCTCAGTTCGCTATACACATCACTAATTAGTGATAGATGGGCTTGTCGGTGATCAGATATCAGTTCGCTGTATCTGTTAGTTCGCTGTAGAGAGTTTGTTATATACGTAAATTTTATATGATATTATATAGGAGATAAATCAGGGATTTTTTAACAGTTCGTTGTATCGTTTGTTCGCTCTGTCCGTGTTCGTTATATCCGTGCTCTACTCGCAGAATTGCTTCATCATTATATTGTTTGTGAGGAGCAACCACTGTGTTAGTCCAGATATGAGATATACCCTGCACCAGCTGCTGTAGGCTCTCTTGTTAAGACTGGGTTGGCAAGTTAGGTAGCCGAGTGGTCCACGATGCCACATCTTGCTGTGCACTAGAATCACAATTTCACTTCACTCATGACCCTTGGTCAAGTATTTCACCAAAGTGGTCAACATGTACGAGCAGTGTCAATGTTTCTCCCCCATCAGGCTGGCACACCCACATCAGGGTGGCTTCAGCAGAACTACTGACCCACCCACTATTGTGTGAATGAATGTTTGTACAGGCCCTGGGAGCAGGGAGGCGAGTGTCCAAGGAAGACTGGATGGAGTGGCTGCGGAAGCTGAGTATTGAGCTGCTGAAGGAATCCCCCTCCCCAGCGCTGCGGTCCTGCTGGGCCTTGGCCCAGTCATACAACCCCCTGGCCAGGTGAGTAGATCACATCATACAACCCCCTGGCCACTTGAGTAGATCACATCATACAACCCCCTGGCCACATGAGTAGATCACATCACACAGCCCCTGGCCACATGAGTAGATCACATCACACAGCCCCTGGCCAGGTGAGTAGATCACATCACACAGCCCCTGGCCAGGTGAGTAGATCACATTATACAACCCCCTGGCCAGGTGAGTAGATCACATCACACAGCCCCTGACCAGGTGAGTAGATCACATCATACAACCCCCTGGCCAGGTGAGTAGATCACATCACACAGCCCCTGACCAGGTGAGTAGATCACATCATACAACCCCCTGGCCACATGAGTAGATCACATCATACAACCCCCTGGCCAGGTGAGTAGATCACATCACACAGCCCCTGACCAGGTGAGTAGATCACATCATACAACCCCCTGGCCACATGAGTAGATCACATCATACAACCCCCTGGCCAGGTGAGTAGATCACATCATACAACCCCCTGGCCACATGAGTAGATCACATCATACAACCCCCTGGCCAGGTAAGAAGTTAACATCATACAACCCCCTGGCCACATGAGTAGATCACATCATACAACCCCCTGGCCAGGTGAGAAGATCACATCACACAACCCCCTGGCCACATGAGTAGATCACATCATACAACCCCCTGGCCAGGTGAGTAGATCACATCATATAACCCCCTAGCCAGGTGAGTAGATCACATCACACAGCCCCTGACCAGGTGAGTAGATCACATCATACAACCCCCTGGCCAGGTGAGTAGATCACATCATATAACCCCCTAGCCAGGTGAGTAGATCACATCACACAGCCCCTGGCCAGGTGAGTAGATCACATCATACAACCCCCTGGCCAGGTGAGTAGATCACATCATACAACCCCCTGGCCAGGTGAGTAGATCATGTCACACAACCCCCTGGCCAGGTGAGTAGATCACATTATGCAACCCCCTGGCCAGGTGAGAAGATCACATCATACAACCCCCTGACCAGGTGAGTAGATCACATCACACAACCCCCTGGCCAGGTGAGTAGATCACATTACACAGCCCCTAGCCAGGTGAGTAGATCACATCATACAACCCCCTGGCCAGGTGAGTAGATCACATCATACAACCCCCTGGCCAGGTGAGTAGATCACATCATACAACCCCCTGGCCAGGTGAGTAGATCATGTCACACAACCCCCTGGCCAGGTGAGTAGATCACATCATACAACCCCCTGGCCAAGTGAGTAGATCACATTATACAACCCCCTGGCCAGGTGAGTAGATCACATCACACAGCCCATGGCCAGGTGAGTAGATCACATCATACAACCCCCTGGCCAGGTGAGTAGATCACATCACACAGCCCCTGACCAGGTGAGTAGATCACATCATACAACCCCCTGGCCAGGTGAGTAGATCACGTCACACATCATACAACCCCCTGGCCAAGTGAGTAGATCACATTATACAACCCCCTGGCCAGGTGAGTAGATCACATCACACAGCCCATGGCCAGGTGAGTAGATCACATCATACAACCCCCTGGCCAGGTGAGTAGATCACATCACACAGCCCCTGACCAGGTGAGTAGATCACATCATACAACCCCCTGGCCAGGTGAGTAGATCACGTCACACATCATACAACACCCCTGGCCAGGTGAGTAGATCACGTCACACAGCCCCTGGCCAGGTGAGAAGATCACATCACACATCACACAGCCCCTGGCCAGGTGAGTAGATCACGTCACACAACCCCCTGCCCAGATGAATAGATCACATCACACATCCCCTGCGCGGTTGACTAGATCACATCACACAGCCCCTGGCCAGGTGAGTAGATCACATCATACAATCCCCTAGCTAGGTGAGTAGATCACATCATACAACTCCCTGGCCAGGTGAGTAGATCACGTCACACAACCCCCTGGCCAGGTGAGTAGATCACATTACACAGCCCCTAGCCAGGTGAGTAGATCACGTCACACATCATACAATCCCCTGGCCAGGTGAGTAGATCATGTCACACAACCCCCTGGCCAGGTGAGTAGATCACATCATACAACCCCCTGGCCAGGTGAGTAGATCACATCATACAACCCCCTGGCCAGGTGAGTAGATCACATCACACAGCCCATGGCCAGATGAGTAGATCACATCATACAACCCCCTGGCCAGGTGAGTAGATCACATCACACAGCCCCTGACCAGGTGAGTAGATCACATCATACAACCCCCTGGCCAGGTGAGTAGATCACGTCACACATCATACAACACCCCTGGCCAGGTGAGTAGATCACATCACACAGCCCCTGGCCAGGTGAGAAGATCACATCACACATCACACAGCCCCTGGCCAGGTGAGTAGATCACGTCACACAACCCCCTGCCCAGATGAATAGATCACATCACACATCCCCTACGCGGTTGACTAGATCACATCACACAGCCACTGGCCAGGTGAGTAGATCACATCATACAACCCCCTGGCCAGGTGAGTAGATCACATCACACAGCCCCTGGCCAGGTGAGTAGATCACGTCACACAACCCCCTGCCCAGATGAATAGATCACATCACACATCCCCTATGCGGTTGACTAGATCACATCACACAACCCCTGGCCAGGTGAGTAGATCACATCATACAATCCCCTGGCTTGGTGAGTAGATCACATCATACAACCCCCTGGCCAGGTGAGTAGATCACATCACACAACCACCTGTGCAGTTGAGTAGATCACATCACACAACCCCCTGCGCGGTTGAGTAGATCACATCACACAACCCCCTGCGTGGTTGAGTAGATCACATCACACAACCCCTTTGTGTTATCTGGGGATTGCTCTCTTGTGGCTTGTCTGATGGTGACTACTTTCCCATCTAGGGACCTGTTCAATGCTGCCTTTGTGTCGTGCTGGACGGAGCTGACGGAGACCCAGCAGGATGAGTTGATCCACAGTCTGGAGCAGGCCCTGACATCCCAGGAGATCCCCGAGATCACCCAGACTCTGCTCAACCTGGCAGAGTTCATGGAGCACTGTGACAAGGTGAGGCCAATACAGACCATCAGAAGCCCCGCCAAATAATAATCTGGGGGCTTATGAGGCAGTTGCTATTACCATTTCGTTTTTAAGAAATGAAGCAGTTATGTTCACGGATCATCTTTAACAAAATCATCTGTACTCCTAATAGAAATAAGAGCATAAGTTTTCATAGTGAGAAGATTTGTGCTGCCAACTTGCTGGGTCCTGTGTTCATCCATACCACATGTTGATGTCTGATCTAAGCAGCCAGACAGAAGTGATTGCTCATTTTATGGGAATGCAGTTATTCAAACACCTCTATTTATTGGTTCATGAGTTTGTAAATGAGATTTTTGTTCTCATTTTTTAGCCTTTGGCTTCAATTAAGAAATCAATTTTGAGTGATCTACCCCTTGCAGATGTTTCAGAATACATGGAATGTGACAAAAGTATGTGTACAATCTCATTAAAATCAGACCTTAGTTCTCGCTACCGCTAAACAAAGATCTGAAGACATCCCATTAGGGGTCACGTCAGAATGACCTTTCATCCGACCAATGAGAGCGTCACTTACCAGATCATGAAAGTGACAGTCGGAATGTGATTTCTAATCATATCACAACCTTGAAAACTTTAAACACGGGGTATTCCGGACGATAGTTACAGGTTTAACAACTGAATCCATACAATCTAGACCATCTATTAGCCATTCCAGAATGTTCTTTTGTTTAAGTTTCAAATTCGTAATCGAGAATTTGTCAAAATATGTTTCGAAGCGTAGTCGCCAATTTGAAATTAGTGCCATAAAGCACGAGAAAGCTGCCTTCTGATTCTGATTCTATTGGTCAGTCAAATTTTGCTCAATGTCGGTCTGACGTGACCAGTAATGGGATGTCCTCATATCTTTGTTTAGTGGTAGCGAGAACTAAGGTCTGATTTTAATGAGATTGGTTTGTGTATAATTAAGACTGTTTGAAACTGTTGGTGTTGTGAGTGGATTCTATGTTTATGATATGTGTTGGTCTCCTTGATTTGATTTTATGTTTTGTTTTTTCTTGTATTTTTTTATTTTTTTATTTTGAAAATAGTTTATTCATTCAAATTGAATGAAATGGAGTTTATAGTATCTGTTGTGTTTGCATATTCAACGTATTTAAGCCCAGGGCTAAATACTGGATGAGGCATTTGGTCCCTGAAGGTGATAAAACCTGTCATTAGACATGCATTCCTGGTGATGAAGCTCCAGCTTGTACTCTGTTACAGTTGTCTAATTTTCCTATAGTACATGGCAGTCATTTATATCCTTCTGCTATACATTACCAGTAAGTGTTCATCAATATCCTTCCATTGTTACTGTAGGGACCCCTGCCTCTTGCAAGCAACATTCTCGGTCAGCGGGCCATGAGGTGCCAGGCTTACGCCAAGGCACTCCACTACAAGGAAGAGGAGTTCCACCGCGGCCCGACAACCGACACTCTGGAGGCACTCATCAGCATCAACAACAAGCTGCAACAACCCGAGGCAGCCGCAGGCGTCCTGGACTACGCCATGAAGCATCATCGAGCAGACCTGGTTAGACGTGTTCACACTACACACTGACACATCATAGCCAGAACACAATGGAAATAAGTTACAGTTTAGAAATGACAGTTGGAAAAACATCTTCTTTTTTATGTTCCTAATTGTACCATGCATCTTTTTTTTTCTAGTTAGAAAGCAAGTGTAAATATGTTTTATTTTGTCTGTAGAAAATCCAGGAAACTTGGTATGAAAAACTTCATGAATGGGACAAAGCCCTTCATGCATATGAACGTAAACAGGAAACCAACCCTGATGACCTCACCTTGACCTTGGGAAGTATGCGCTGCCTTGAAGCATTGGGAGAATGGTGAGTCTTTGTACTTCATTCAGTGTCATATATACCACATCCATTGTTATATATACCACATCCATTGTCATATATACTTCATTCATTGTCATATATACCACATCCACTGTCATATATACTTCATCCATTGTTATATATGCCACATCCATTGTCATATATACCACATCCATTGTCATATATACTTCATCCATTGTCATATATACTTCATCCACTGTCACATACACCACATCTATTGTCACATATACCACATCTGTTGTCTCATATACCACATCCATTTATATATATATCCCACATCCACTATCACATGTCTGTTGTGTTTTGTACCATGTCCAGGATGACATGTCCAGTTCCTGTAATGCAGGTCAGGTCACACCCTCTATTGACCACATAACATTTACATGTCACTATCCTCATTTGCCTCGGTACAAGATTCATACAGAGAGATGTATCCTTGTCCCATCCAGGTGCCACTGATTGTGGGTCTGAATTTACATTTGTATGACCCTTGTCGTGTCAGGGTTTCATCAAAGTGGCATATGCCCTGCTTGACTTTCCGCTCTCCTCTCAAGATAAGCTGAAACACCTTAAACTGTGTAAAGGTTGGCAAATAAACCTTCAGTCACTCCCTCTGTATGACAGTATACATCTTGCACTGATATAATAACCACCATCTTGCACTGATGTAATAACCACCATCTTGCATTGATGTAATAAACCACAATCTTGCACTGATGTAATAACCAACATCTTGCACTGATGTCATAACCACCATCTTGCATTGATGTAATAACCAACATCTTGCACTGATGTAATAACCACCATCTTGCATTGATGTAATAAACCACAATCTTGCACTGATGTAATAACCAACATCTTGCACTGATGTAATAAACCACAATCTTGCACTGTTGTCATAACCACCATCTTGCACTGATGTAATAAACCACAATCTTGCACTGATGTAATAAACCACAATCTTGCACCGATGTAATAACCAACGTCTTGCACTGATGTAATAACCACCATCTTGCATTGATGTAATAACCAACATCTTGCACTGATATTATATCCAACACCTTGCACAGATGAAATAACCACCATCTTGCACTGATGTAATAACCACCATCTTGCACTGATGTAATAAACCACCATCTTGCACTGATGTAATAACCAACATCTTGCACTGATATAATAACCACCATCTTGCACTGATGTAATAAACCAACACCTTGCACTGATGTAATAACCACTATCTTGCACTGATGTAATAACCACCATCTTGCACTGATATTATATCCAACACCTTGCACAGATATAATAAACCAACATCTTGCACTGATGTAATAACCACCATCTTGCACTGATATTATATCCAACACCTTGCACAGATATAATAAACCAACATCTTGCACTGATGTAATAACCACCATCTTGCACTGATATTATATCCAACACCTTGCACAGATATAATAAACCAACATCTTGCACTGTTATAATATTAAACCAACACCTTACACTGATGTTATAACCAATATCTTGCACTGATGTTATAACCGACATCTTGCACTGATGTAATAAACCAACACATGCCCTATCGTGTCTTCTAGGGGTCAGCTGCATGCACTGGCCTGTGACAAGTGGCCAACAGCCAGTGATGATGTTCGAACCAAGATGGCAAGAATGGCTTCAGCTGCTGCATGGGGTCTAGGTAAGAATCCTACAGCTCTACCTATCCCCATGTTCTTCTAAACAAAGCTGGGGGTGCACTTGCATGTTTTATAACAGAACTGCATAAGGAGTACAGTGTATCTCGACTTCGGACCATTCCCTATTAATTTACACAGTTTAGCAAATTTCATGACTACAAATATAGATATGTATCAATGTCCATTTAAAATATATGGACATTATCTAAAGTGATCATTTGGAATGCTGGGCTTTGGGACAAGTTTCATTGTATGAGTATCCAGACTGGCTCGTTGCTTGGTGTGGCTGAAAGTCTGTTCATGGTATCTTTTGTTGCAGGCCAGTGGGAGAGCATGGAGGAGTACATGTGTCTCATCCCACGCACCAGCTATGACGGAGCCTTCTACAGAGCCATCTTTGCTCTTCACTCAGAGAACTTCCAGCTGGCCCAACAGGTGAGGATGTGGGACAACACAGGGTTCTATACATCTCTAGTGTATGTGGTATGAAGAGTTTGCTTTGTCTGTCAGTCGGCCTTGTTATGTAGCTTCTCATCAAGTACTGACTGCCTCCCTGGTCTAGTGGTACAGCGTCCGCCCAGAGAGCGGAAGGTCCGGGTTTCGACCCCTGTTCGCGACCCCTGACTGACGCTTGCCATTTAGGGGCTAAAACAAGGACTGGTTGGCTCGGAGTCAGTATACTGTGTCTGAGTGGGGTATTCATGTTAAACTGTGGCCTGGTATCTCAGTGTGCTAGCACTTTAAATCGGGTTCAGTCGGACAAGTACACACACACACACACACACACACACACACACACACACACACACACACACACACACACACACAGACACACACACACACACACACACACAAACACACACAAACACACACACACACACACACACACACACATGTCCTGTTTGCCTTCAGTATAAGGCCGTGTGTTTCAGTGTAATGCCATGTGTTTCAGTGTATTGACAAGGCCCGGGACATCCTGGACACAGACCTGACTGCTATGGCGGGGGAGAGCTACAACCGAGCCTATGGGGTGAGGAAACAGCTTCATACTACAAACCCACTGGAGATGACTCAGTTTCTTGGAATGTGAAAGCAGATCCAAGTTTATTCATAAGCATAATATACAACGCCCATTAGAGATAAGATTGTCAACTCTTGTCCTCCACTGACAGTATTTGGGGCATGGTCTGCATGTAAAACATAACGGCACCTGCTTTGTATGACTGTAAACATTTGCCCTCTCTGAAGACTCACTTCTATGTCCATCAGGCAATGGTGAATGTCCAGATGTTGTCGGAGCTGGAGGAGATCATCAAGTACAAGCTGATCCCCGAGAGACAGGACGCCATCAAGACCATGTGGTGGGACAGACTCAAGGTAGGCCCTTGCATCTCCCACCTCCATCCTTAGGCTTAGCATTGTCTCATCAGTATAGGTCATCTTCATAAATAACAATCTGAACTCTGTATTGCCTGTCGTAAGAGGCAACTACTGCACTGGGTGGTCAGACTTGTTACTGGGTTGGGTGTGTGTCATGGTATCCTGATGGTGTGTGGCGTTGCAGTAATACCAACCACTCCTTTGTCTGGCCCAGATTTGATTATTTACTGGTAGCCATCATATAGCTGTAGTATTACTGACTGCAATGTAAAACGACAAACAAATCTTGGAAATGAGATTTTATAATACAGTAAGGGCAGGTAGCCTTGACCACACTCCTGTGGATGATACTCAATTTATTGATCAAGTTAGACGTGTCTCTGTAATCCAGCTAGATTGTGAATGAATGCTATCTTATTTGCCCGGAGTGACATCAACACATGGCTGTGGTCAGAACAGAAACAACATGTCAGTTGGATTGTGCAATTCATTCATATAATTTGGTCAGGATATTACAGAAGTCCTCCATATTGTTTACTATAGTTGCAACCAAAATTCATTTGATCAAATAAGTAAACTGGCCGTCAGTCTCAGCTTCAAGGCTGGTAGTTGAGTGGGAGGTTTGAGAAGCTGTGTTGCAGGCTGGTAGTTGAGTGGGAGGTTGGTGAAGCTGTGTTGCAGGCTGGTAGTTGAGTGGGAGGTTTGAGAAGCTGTGTTGCAGGCTGGTAGTTGAGTGGGAGGTTTGAGAAGCTGTGTTGCAGGCTGGTAGTTGAGTGGGAGGTTTGTGAAGCTGTGTTGCAGGCTGGTAGTTGAGTGGGAGGTTGGTGAAGCTGTGTTGCAGGCTGGTAGTTGAGTGGGAGGTTGGTGAAGCTGTGTTGCAGGCTGGTAGTTGAGTGGGAGGTTTGAGAAGCTGTGTTGCAGGCTGGTAGTTGAGTGGGAGGTTTGAGAAGCTGTGATGCAGGCTGGTAGTTGAGTGGGAGGTTTGTGAAGCTGTGATGCAGGCTGGTAGTTGAGTGGGAGGTTTGTGAAGCTGTGTTGCAGGCTGGTAGTTGAGTGGGAGGTTTGTGAAGCTGTGTTGCAGGCTGGTAGTTGAGTGGGAGGTTTGAGAAGCTGTGTTGCAGGCTGGTAGTTGAGTGGGAGGTTTGAGAAGCTGTGTTGCAGGCTGGTAGTTGAGTGGGAGGTTGGTGAAGCTGTGTTGCAGGCTGGTAGTTGAGTGGGAGGTTTGTGAAGCTGTGTTGCAGGCTGGTAGTTGAGTGGGAGGTTGGTGAAGCTGTGTTGCAGGCTGGTAGTTGAGTGGGAGGTTTGAGAAGCTGTGTTGCAGGCTGGTAGTTGAGTGGGAGGTTTGTGAAGCTGTGTTGCAGGCTGGTAGTTGAGTGGGAGGTTTGTGAAGCTGTGTTGCAGGCTTGTAGTTGAGTGGGAGGTTTGTGAAGCTGTGCTGCTATATTGCAGGCTGCTTATCTTCATCGATGTAATTAACATGAAATATGTTACTCTGATACAATACCTCTCTGCGTCAACATCTGAGGACACCTCCACAGGGAACTTTGACCACCCAATCTAAATGGAGGATGCCGAGGTTCTTGAGCTAATCAGACGTCAGCTTTCTTAAACAGTTTTCTTAAACAGTTTGGCTTCTTTTTGATTCTGAATTTCGATTTGAATTATGCACCTCCATAGAACCTTTTAGGGTGTAGATCCCATGGCAGTCAGAAATGATAGGATGTATAAAATATTCACAACAGTATAATAGCTGGCTTTAATTTTTTTGCTTTTCGAATTCCATGTACTCGATTATATTTGTTTTTGAGATACAGCAATCAGATATGCTTGTTTGAATGGTTCGCTCTCTCGTGTTCACAATTTAGAAGCCACTGCACTGATTTCCTCGGATCTTTTTGCAGAGAAGTGTTGTGTCGGATTAAAACATCTGATATTGATAAGATTTACAGGTCTTCAATTGTATTTGAGTGTGAGGTTCGTAAAGCCACATTGCCATGTTGCCATGTTGCAGGGCTGTCAGCGGGTGGTAGAGGACTGGCAGCGGATACTTCAAGTCCGGTCGCTGGTTATCTCCCCTACTGATGACATGAAGACCTGGCTCAAATACGCCAGTCTCTGTCGCAAGAGTGAGCGGCTGGTGAGTTTCTCGACATCTCTCAGGGAACTGTTTTACTGACAGAAAAACAACAATTATGCTTCAGAAACTGGAATGGAGTGCAGGGATCAGGCAGTGATGAGGATGCCTCATGGGCAAACAGGCGGCCACTTCCCATGTTAAACATTTATAGGTTTATTATTTATCCTCCACAATAAGGTGTATGGTCAACATTATTATCCCTGTCACTGGATTGATTTTCATTATCAGCTCCCTGGGGAGTATACAATCCAAGCTGCCTTTGTCAGGCACTGAAAGGTTAACAGTCACCTTACCATCTCATTCTACTGGGTACCCATTTTTACTGCTAGGTGAACGGAGGCATATTTCAAACAAAGTTACATGCCTAAGGAGACACCACATGTGCTACATGTGCTTCAGTGTGGGGCAGGACCGAAGCAAGAGTCCAGCTGCTGAACACAGTCACCCATCCAACTACTCTCCACGTTCAACATTGCTTAACTTGACCTGCTTTGTTACCTGTGTGCTGTGCACAGGACCATGTCCCACCATGAAGACTGTCTATTAGTAGTGTGTTGTGTGTATTACAGGCCCTGTCTCACAAGACGCTGGTCACCCTGCTGGGGATTGACCCTGACAAGAACAAGGACAAGCATATCCCCACCACCCACCCCCAGGTCACCTTCGCCTACCTCAAACACATGTGGCAGACGGGCAGCAATCAGAAGGTCAGATTCCGTCAGGAAAATCACAAAACTAATGCAAAAACTTTTTAAGCAAATGCAAGTGATATGAGAGGGGGAATCTGATGGTCAATAGGAGGGACATAGAAGGGACATAATAGTAATAGCCACTGGTGGCACTTTGATCGAGCCACGAAATTCCAGCGTTGTGGAAACTGGACTTTGTAGCCAGTTAACACCCTTGCCTCAGGAAGATGGGTATTGTCATAGAAGCAGGTGATTCAAACCTGATCCAGGCTCTGTTGTCCCTCTTGTGAAAGGACTTTTACATGTGGATTCTTATTTTTCATTATGCTGAAGTGACTGGTGTTGTTTCCAGGAGAATGCATTCAGCATGTTGCAGCACTTTGTCCGTCAGTCACTCCAGGCCAAGTCGCTCCAACTCATGGCTCCCGAAGATGCTCCACAAAGACTGGAGCTGAACAAGCTGTTGGCCAGGTACACACTGCCTTCACTCAGATCCATGGCCCACACCAAACATACTGACCTTTAAATCGGTGCACATACAGTTTGTTGTATCTGTGAAGAATACAATCTGAAGAGAACCCTTAAAACAAGCATTCCTATGAAATACCTGATGTAAATAGTCTCCAAAGGATCGAGCCTGTCTTAAGCAGTGTGGCAGACGAACATTGATAGTTAGCAGCGCGAAGAGGACTGCTATAAGATTTTTGTCAGCATTTAACCACAGCTGTCATTGATTTTACTTATGTTCACTACACAATGATTATTGACATTGGCAATTATTCTTCCAAATGGTTTATCTTAAGAAGTCCTGTCAAATGTCAATTGCACTTATGTCAAAGGACAAGGTCAAGGTCATTTTCATGGTAATTATGAAAAGTAGTTTCATACTTTCTTTTGAATATGGTGCAAAGACCATTGACAGTAGAGGATCTTCAGCGGACTCATTCAACACAGATCTGGGGAACTCTTTTGGCACATGCCATGAAAAGGTCAAGGTCACAAGTTAGAAAAAATCTCACTAAAAAGATTGTGGTTATGCTTTTACCATTGATGTGTTATCTGCAGTGTTTTTTTCTGACGTAAGATTTTAAGCAGGGGTCAAATTTTGTGCCCTTTTGACCTCTGGTAACCTACGTAGTTACTGTATTAACCCCATACAACATATAGAGGTGTAGAGGATCAGGCTACCAACATTGTGAGAGGTCATACATCAGTAACATCACTATATGAATATTCCACTTTCTAGTTTCCCCTACCCCCAAATCTTGTCCCTCCAATCATGTGGTGATTACTACCACTGAGCTGTGTGTCCCGGATTGCTTTCAAGGTCTTTTTTCGTCTATATAGGACTTTTAAAAAGTCATCATAAGATTTTGCCACCCCAAGCTTTATAACGTTTAAAGGGGCACTGATCTGACGCATTTCCCCGGACTGGTTGTTGCCTTTGTTATTGTTTTTTCCCCCGTGAGTACCCGGATGATACGCAACGCAACTGAGCGTGACCAGAGACTGGGCTACCGTCTGCAAGGACAGCTAAATAAACTTGGAGGCTGGAGGCAATATTTGTTTTACGCATTTTTGCATAAACACTGATTGGTTAACTGTGATCTATAAAGATTTCGACAAAGGGCGCCTATTAATTAATTTCTCCAGCCTAAACAAACAGACAAAAAGAACGGCAGAGCTCATCGGATGTCGTCATTTGGAAATACCCCAGATGGTTATAGTTTAATACTAAAAAAAGTATCCATACAGTGAAAGCATTTTCGGATTTCCGATTGCGTCGATTATACGATTACTACTCCCTTGTTGTCATCCACGTTTTCTCGTATAACCCTACACTTGTGTATTTGTCGTCATTCACTTGATGCTCAGTTAATGAATTTATTACAGGTACAATTAGTGGTAGCACCACTTAGATTACCTGACAAAGGTTCCCATTTGGCATTTATTGTGTCTGGGGTAATTATTCAATCTAAATCCAGGTTTGAAGTGAGATGAAATGTGTGTTATGTAATATGCACGTGGCAGCCCAGCAAGAGATGAATGATCAGTTTATTTACTTTTTTTTGTAAATCAACGGATCGTTCCTAGCCATCAAAGGTTTAACAGAAAATACGTTGATTGATTAATCACTGTTATCTTGCACAGTGGATATGTCAAAAGTGAGTGTTTACATGTCTAGGTTTACTAAAACAAAGGGAATACACTCACATCATGGCGTGAAGTGCCGATGTAAAAACAACATACTTTGTTCAAAGGGTTAACCGATAATACGTTGATTAATTGCTCATTGTTATCTATCACTCAATGGATTTTTTAGGAACCGTGGACGTTATGAAAATAGTTGTCACGTGGGCTTTCTCAGCCGACCCTTGAGACTTGACACCTATGTGAACACCTGAAACAATCTAAGGGATCAGTTGAGAAACGAACACGGGTTATAATATCCCGAAACGATATATATCTTTTAAAATATTTGATTGTTACAGAGACACGTGACATCGAATAAGTTTCTTTGTACAGCTGCAGACGAGTAGGATATTGTTCCCTTGTGTGCATGGATATTCACGGATACATTCCTCGAACCAGGAACGAGTCATTTTGACTGAAAAATCTGTCCATTTCTTTAACAGATTGACTAAAATTGATTGAGACGATCAAAAGAGTCGTAAAACATCACAGCGGATTATTATGTAGGATTAGAAGCCAAACAAAATAGAAATGTACTTTTCATCGTAACATTTTCAGTCTCTTGGTGATGATATTAAACATAAAAATGTTTGGAATTCGTTGTCATAATAATAGAGATGGACATATTTTTCAGTCAAAAAGGCGTTTGATAAATTTTCTGAGTGAAAATTTTGCACATTTTGACTGTAAAAACATAAACACGATAAAATTAGCAATGCTCAGGTGAAATATTTACTTTGTGTTGCAAGTCAAAATATTGTAAACGAAAGTCGCACAATTACCAAGCAAGTGACTTATCCAAACTTCGTCACCATTACCGATGCTACCCACAAAGATACCTACATTTCCTTATTATTTCCAAACTGTATTTCATTTTGTTTGATCAATGTGACCATACGCCCCTTATACTGTCAACATAAGTGATAAATGCGCTTACGAATTGCGCAACACAGGTCACGAACTAGTCTAGATGTCTGCTATATCATCTGGGTACTCACGGGAAAAAAACAATAACAAAGGCAACAACCAGTCCCGGGGAATTTCTTTAGATCAGTGCCCCTTTAAGGTCTGGCTCATGTTTTTTTTGTCAAAATGTATCAATGCTTCAAAAAAGATTTGCTCAAGATTAGGCGACACTTTTTTTATTTCTTGGTTTACGGATTTCAAACTCATTTCAAAAGTGAGGCAGGCCAATTAAAAAAAAAAAAAAAAAGCCTCTCACATTTCTTTTACCTGAATTTTGTCCTAAAAAGTTAGGTAGGTATGAAAAAAAATATCCTGGCGTAATAAAAGTAAAATAACTCAATTTTTCTAGAACATTTTATTATATCCCTGGCACTCAGCTTGTGCAAGGATGGCAACATAACAATATTCATGTCATGGGTGAAAGACACTGCTATTTTGGCAGCATGGGCAACGTTTAACTCTTTCAACACCAGCCAACCAGAAGATTACTGCTGTGACACCAAGTTCCCAGAGACTGTTGTGTGATAGATGAAACCAACATTTATCAAGGAATTATCTGCTGAAATTAACATCTTTGCTACTACATGTTTGGCCATACACTATTTGAAAGGTCTAATTAATCCTATTGTTTATAAATATGAAAGTTATGTGTATTTCATTATTTAAATAATTCATGAACAACTAAATAAAGTTTGTTTTAAATAAATAGTAATGTAAGCTAAAACACTCATTACGTCCAAATTCAGCGCAAATCTAACGATTTTTTCGGCAAACATAATAATTAATAAAATCCACTTACCTATTTCTTCTTAATTTTCATTTGTTTACGTTGTTGGAACATTATTTTAAAAAGAATTACAAATAATATCTGTCATCACCCATTTCCCGATGATAGTGGCTGTCCGCTCACTAACATGAGGAAATACCTCGGTTTTCAAAGCTTCGTATGAATAACACATACGTCCTGCCATGTCAGTACATTAAAAAAACTTATATTGTTTCACCGACAAAATCTGCTACAAGGTTCGTGATTGGTCAAATTTAAGCACGTGACCTAAGGCAGCTAATCAAATTACAGCAACGATAATTTTCAGACTTTGGCGAAAGGTTTGGTTTAAATCATGTTATTCTGAACGTATCAGCATGAAATCGCGATCTATATTAAAAATATGGAACTTTATGGATGCATAGAGCTAGGTTTAGAGCTGTGACAAAGATTTCTTATGCATATATTTTGGCATTAAGACATCGTGTCCGAGCCGAGAAATCGAGGCGACGAAAGTCGAGATGTCATTTGACTTACAATATGCGATCGCATGAAAAGTTGGAAATAATAACTAAGATGTCAGTTTGGCAACTTTTATAGATATATTTTTTTAATGATTTTATTACTTTGTAAATAAAGACGTTTCAGCGCGTGAAACGTCTTTATTTTGCTATTTGACATGTTCGATGAGGTCCCGTTGTCGAAGTGTGTCCGATAATTTTATTTTCAATAACATTGCGGGAAATAGTGTCAAGTGAATATATTTTTAATCTATAGATAAAAAAATGATAAAATCAAATGGAATACGTATTACAGACATTGTGAAATGTGATAGATTTAATAAATGAATGATATGACAAGTAGGTTAATATAATTATAAACTATTTTGACGTGGCTTGGACGGTCTACCGTGCGGTGTGACTTGTGGCTTTGAACGGCCAACAGTGTTGAAATAGTTAAACTGGTCACCACTGCGCTTTGCGTTGACAAGCTTTGATGGTATTAGAGAAGGATCCCAGCAAGAAATATCAGAGTGACTTCCCTTTGCTTTACGCTCGACGAGGAAATGAAATCTTTTTTTTTGTTTGAACTTTTTGTCGAAAAGATCGGCGGTAATAAAAAAAAGGGTAATTTTCATTTTTATTTTTTTTTAACATTTGGACTTTGAAAGAGCGGCGCATCCGTAAACCAAGAAATAAAAAAATTGTCGCCTTACTCAAAGTCAACGTGTAGTTTTTCTAAAATCATCATTGTCAGCTTCTGACACTAGTTCACTCAGCATGAAACCTTATAAAGCATGTATCTTGCTGAATCTAACTTGAAATGTTATTATGTCTAACAAAGGCCAGGGTCATCATTGGGTTATTGTGAAACAGTGTTGTATCATTCAATACCAGTTACTGTTGCATCTTTTCAGTTCTGCGACTGTTGCACTTTTGGGGCATAGTGGAACTGAATGTGATGTGTTGTGTTTTTGTAAGACTTTGCAAACATCTTTACATATGTAGCGGCCATAAAATTTCCGAGTCCCTTGATGGGATTCGAACCATGGACCTTCTGATCAGAGGTCGGACACCTTGTCCACATGACCAAAGAGGTTAACCCCGTCCAGCAAGCTGACAAGGTAAGGATGTCATCTGTGGGATGACACCATGCCCTACTACACATACAACAAGTATATGTGACAATTCCTGATTAAATCCTGATGAAGTCTCAAAGTTGGGCTAAGTGTTCTCCATGGGTTACCGTGTGTCTCTGTGTTCAGATGCTATCGCTGTCTGGGAGGCTGGGCGGAGGAGTTGAATGGTATATCGGAGGAGTCGATTCCCCAAGTGTTGGAGTATTACAGCCTGGCTACACAGCATGACAAGAACTGGTACAGGGTAGGTGGTGCTGAGAACACACTGTGTTGTCTCGGATCATTCCTGTCATTATATGAAATGTAAGTCCATATTTGCTCATGACAGTGTTTAGGCCAAAATAAGTTTATGCTTCTCTTCTTTTAGTATGACCGCAAACGTTTTTCCTTTTTTGCTTTTAATTTTTGACAAGCTAATTTGCTTGGCATTAAAAGTTTAAAATTAAGCAAAAACTTGTACATCTACTGACTAAAATTTTGTATAGAGGATTAAAAAAAAGTCATCTTTATTTAAATGAATTTTTCGAATCATAATCTCCCTATAATCTCCCCTCCACACAACCTCCACAAAATTGAAAGGCACTGTGTCATGTGTAGTCTTAACGTTCTCATTTTGGAAAGCAGGTTAGAGTTACCTGCACTTGATTTTAAATCAGGAATATAATAAAGCAGAATGCTGGCAGTTTAAAGTTACGTGGACGGGACAGAAGCCAGCTGCAGGCTGAGACAGTGGCTGCAGATATGTAATGGAGTGTGTGTTGCAGGCATGGCATGCATGGGCACTGATGAACTACGAGGCGGTATTGTTCTACAAGCAGAAGGAGCAGAGTTCCTCAAGCACCACGCCCTCTGGGGACAAGGGTGTCATTGCCAGGCCGGTCATGGAGCTAGTCATCTCACCTAAACCAGAATCAGTATGTATCCTACCAGTTTGTCTTACAAGGGGACTAAGTTGAACCGGGTGGTCAGGCTTGGTGACTTGTTTGATTGGTGTCATCGCACCCCACTGGCGTGGGATATTGCTCATAATATCAAACACTGAACTATCTGGTCCAGACTTGTTTCTTTACAAACTGCTGTCATATACCTGGAATATTGTTGACTGCAGCATTAATCAAAGAACCAATCAATACGACATGACCTGTATGTACTGAATCGGATACTGTATGGCTTAACCTTCAGACCCTTTGGATTAATTCTTATCTTTTGTAATTTGCTGGTAAATTGTACTCCTCAGAATTCTGCTAAGATCCACAAATACTGTGTGCCAGCAGTTCAAGGCTTCTTCCGATCTATCGCCCTTGACTCCCAGAACAGCCTCCAGGATACTCTCAGGTGAGACTGCAAGGAAAACTGCTGTTCACACATTCAGTAATGGGTCAAGTAAAGCATTTTGAAATTCAGTTTGTGTTTTGACTTTGTGTGAAATTCATACTGTTAACAATTCAAGTGATCCCACACACTCCGACGTTGATGTGTTTGAACTGTGTTCCAGGTTGCTGACAGTGTGGTTTGACTTCGGGCAGTGGCCTGAGGTGCACGAGGCGCTGGTGGAAGGCATCAAGACCATCCAGATCGACAACTGGCTGCAGGTAGTGCAACTGACTGGGGGTGTAGGCTGTAGGGAGGAAACTCAGATGGAATGGTCACTTATGAAAAATCAGATTTGTGATAATCTCTTTATTCAAGTGCAACATAAAATCCTAACCCAAACTCTGGAAACAACTACCTTGTAGACACCTTTTCAGCTCCTTTTGTGTTTAAGCTGAATCATGTGTTACTAGATCTTTGGGCCTTAGGTTTCAACCAAACTGGCGCCCAGGAAGTTGTCAATAATGGTGATGAAATATACAGCTGTTTTCTCTATCTTTATCAACTGGCCAAGTTACATAATGACTTTACATAATGACTATACATAATGACTATACATAATGACTATACATAATGACTATACATGATGACTATACATAATGACTATACATGATGACTATACATAATGAATATACATAATGACTATACACGATGACTATACATAATGACTATACATAATGACTATACACAATGACTATACATGATGACTATACACGATGACTATACATAATGACTATACATAATGACTATACATAATGACTATACACAATGACTATACATAATGACTATACATAATGACTATACATAATGACTATACATGATGAATATACATAATGACTATACACGATGACTATACATAATGACTATACATAATGACTATACACAATGACTATACATGATGACTATACATAATGACTATACATAATGACTATACACAATGACTATACATAATGACTATACATAATGACTATACATGACTATACATAATGACTATACACGATGACTATACATGATGACTATACACGATGACTATACATAATGACTATACACGATGACTATACATAATGACTATACACGATGACTATACATAATGACTATACACGATGACTATACATAATGACTATACACAATGACTATACATGATGACTATACACGATGACTATACATAATGACTATACATAATGACTATACATGATGACTATACATAATGACTATACATGATGACTATACATAATGACTATACATGATGACTATACATAATGACTATACATAATGACTATACATGATGACTATACATGATGACTATACACAATGACTATACATGATGACTATACATGATGACTATACATAATGACTTTACATAATGACTATACATAATGACTATACACAATGACTATACATAATGACTATACATAATGACTATACATGATGACTATACATGATGACTATACACAATGACTATACATGATGACTATACATAATGACTATACACGATGACTATACATGATGACTATACACAATGACTATACATAATGACTATACATAATGACTATACATGATGACTATACACAATGACTATACATGATGACTATACATGATGACTATACATGATGACTATACATGATGACTATACATAATGACTATACATGATGACTATACATGATGACTATACATAATGACTATACATAATGACTATACACGATGACTATACATAATGAATATACACGATGACTATACATAATGAATATACACGATGACTATACATAATGAATATACACGATGACTATACATAATGAATATACACGATGACTATACACAATGACTATACAAGATGACTATACATAATGACTATACATAATGACTATACATGATGACTATACATGATGAATATACATGATGACTATACATAATGACTATACATAATGACTATACATAATGACTATACACGATGACTATACATAATGACTATACATAATGACTATACATGATGACTATACATAATGAATATACACGATGACTATACATAATGAATATACACGATGACTATACATAATGAATATACACGATGACTATACATAATGAATATACACGATGACTATACATAATGAATATACACGATGACTATACATAATGAATATACATAATGAATATACACGATGACTATACATAATGAATATACACGATGACTATACATAATGAATATACACGATGACTATACATAATGAATATACACGATGACTATACATAATGAATATACACGATGACTATACATAATGAATATACACGATGACTATACACAATGACTATACATAATGACTATACATGATGACTATACATAATGAATATACACGATGACTATACATAATGAATATACACGATGACTATACATAATGAATATACACGATGACTATACATAATGAATATACACGATGACTATACACAATGACTATACAAGATGACTATACATAATGACTACATAATGACTATACATAATGACTATACATGATGACTATACATGATGAATATACATGATGACTATACATAATGACTATACATAATGACTATACATAATGACTATACACGATGACTATACATGATGACTATACATAATGACTATACATAATGACTATACATAATGACTATACATGATGACTATACATAATGAATATACACGATGACTATACATAATGAATATACACGATGACTATACATAATGAATATACACGATGACTATACATAATGAATATACACGATGACTATACATAATGAATATACACGATGACTATACATAATGAATATACATAATGACTATACATAATGAATATACACGATGACTATACATAATGAATATACACGATGACTATACATAATGAATATACACGATGACTATACATAATGAATATACACGATGACTATACATAATGAATATACACGATGACTATACATAATGAATATACACGATGACTATACACAATGACTATACATAATGACTATACATAATGACTATACATAATGACTATACACAATGACTATACATAATGACTATACATAATGAATATACACGATGACTATACATGATGACTATACATAATGACTATACACGATGACTATACATAATGACTATACATGATGACTATACACGATGACTATACACGATGACTATACATGATGACTATACACAATGACTATACATAATGACTATACATGATGATTATACATAATGACTATACACGATGACTATACACAATGACTATACATAATGACTATACATGATGACTATACATAATGACTATACATGATGACTATACATAATGACTATACATAATGACTATACACGATGACTATACATGATGACTATACATAATGACTATACATGATGACTATACATAATGACTATACATGATGACTATACATAATGAATATACACGATGACTATACATAATGAATATACACGATGACTATACATAATGAATATACACGATGACTATACATAATGAATATACACGATGACTATACATAATGAATATACATAATGACTATACATAATGAATATACACGATGACTATACATAATGAATATACACGATGACTATACATAATGAATATACACGATGACTATACATAATGAATATACACGATGACTATACATAATGAATATACACGATGACTATACATAATGAATATACACGATGACTATACACAATGACTATACATAATGACTATACATGATGACTATACATAATGACTATACATAATGACTATACACAATGACTATACATAATGACTATACATAATGAATATACACGATGACTATACATAATGACTATACATGATGACTATACATAATGACTATACACGATGACTATACATAATGACTATACATAATGACTATACATGATGACTATACACGATGACTACACGATGACTATACATGATGACTATACACAATGACTATACATAATGACTATACATGATGATTATACATAATGACTATACACGATGACTATACACAATGACTATACATAATGACTATACATGATGACTATACATAATGACTATACATGATGACTATACACGATGACTATACACGATGACTATACACAATGACTATACATGATGACTATACACAATGACTATACATAATGACTATACATAATGACTATACACGATGACTATACATAATGACTATACATAATGACTATACATGATGACTATACATAATGACTATACACAATGACTATACATAATGACTATACATGATGACTATACATAATGACTTTACATAATGACTATACATGATGACTATACATAATGACTATACATGATGACTATACACGATGACTATACACGATGACTATACATGATGACTATACACAATGACTATACATGATGACTATACACAATGACTATACATAATGACTATACATAATGACTATACACGATGACTATACATAATGACTATACACAATGACTATACATAATGACTATACATGATGACTATACATAATGACTATACATAATGACTATACACAATGACTATACATAATGACTATACATGATGACTATACATAATGACTTTACATAATGACTATACATGATGACTATACATAATGACTATACATGATGACTATACATGATGACTTTACATAATGACTATACATAATGACTATACATGATGACTATACATAATGACTATACACGATGACTATACATAATGACTATACACAATGACTACATGATGACTACACGATGACTATACATAATGACTATACATAATGACTATACATGATGACTATACATGATGACTATACATGATGACTATACATAATGACTATACATAATGACTATACTTAATGACTATACACAATGACTATACATAATGACTATACATGATGACTATACATGATGACTATACATAATGACTATACATAATGACTATACATAATGACTATACACGATGACTATACATAATGACTATACATGATGACTATACATAATGACTATACTTAATGACTATACACAATGACTATACATAATGACTATACATGATGACTATACATGATGACTATACACAATGACTATACACAATGACTTGCTGTTTCCATACCTGGGAAGAAGCCGAGCACTCCTAGAGATGATGCTATGACAAAACTGTGTTCCAGGTGATCCCCCAACTCATAGCCAGGATTGACACCCCCCGGAACCTGGTCGGCAGACTCATCCAGCAGCTGCTCATTGACATCGGCAAACACCATCCACAGGTGAGTTACAGCCCTAATGCACAGTTCCTGCACTGTAGGTAGGGTGATGTAGGTTACTGCACAGGGCTGTGTTTGAATATACTGTAGGTAGGGTGATGTAGGTTACTGCACAGGGCTGTGTTTGAATATACTGTAGGTAGGGTGATGTAGGTTACTGCACAGGGCTGTGTTTGAATATACTGTAGGTAGGGTGATGGAGATTCCTGCACAGGGCTGTGTTTGAATATACTGGAGATAGGGTGATGGAGATTCCTGCACAGGGCTGTGTTTGAATATACTGGAGATAGGGTGATGGAGATTCCTGCACAGGGCTGTGTTTGAATATACTGTAGGTAGGGTGATGGAGATTCCTGCACAGGGCTGTGTTTGAATATACTGGAGATAGGGTGATGGAGATTCCTGCACAGGGCTGTGTTTGAATATACTGTAGGTAGGGTGATGGAGATTCCTGCACAGGGCTGTGTTTGAATATACTGTAGGTAGGGTGATGGAGATTCCTGCACAGGGCTGTGTTTGAATATACTGGAGATAGGGTGATGGAGATTCCTGCACAGGGCTGTGTTTGAATATACTGGAGATAGGGTGATGGAGATTCCTGCACAGGGCTGTGTTTGAATATACTGGAGATAGGGTGATGGAGATTCCTGCACAGGGCTGTGTTTGAATATACTGTAGGTAGGGTGATGGAGATTCCTGCACAGGGCTGTGTTTGAATATACTGGAGATAGGGTGATGGAGATTCCTGCACAGGGCTGTGTTTGAATATACTGGAGATAGGGTGATGGAGATTCCTGCACAGGGCTGTGTTTGAATATACTGTAGGTAGGGTGATGGAGATTCCTGCACAGGGCTGTGTTTGAATATACTGGAGATAGGGTGATGGAGATTCCTGCACAGGGCTGTGTTTGAATATACTGGAGATAGGGTGATGGAGATTCCTGCACAGGGCTGTGTTTGAATATACTGGAGATAGGGTGATGGAGATTCCTGCACAGGGCTGTGTTTGAATATACTGTAGGTAGGGTGATGGAGATTCCTGCACAGGGCTGTGTTTGAATATACTGGAGATAGGGTGATGGAGATTCCTGCACAGGGCTGTGTTTGAATATACTGGAGATAGGGTGATGGAGATTCCTGCACAGGGCTGTGTTTGAATATACTGTAGGTAGGGTGATGGAGATTCCTGCACAGGGCTGTGTTTGAATATACTGTAGGTAGGGTGATGGAGATTCCTGCACAGGGCTGTGTTTGAATATACTGTAGGTAGGGTGATGGAGATTCCTGCACAGGGCTGTGTTTGAATATACTGGAGATAGGGTGATGGAGATTCCTGCACAGGGCTGTGTTTGAATATACTGGAGATAGGGTGATGGAGATTCCTGCACAGGGCTGTGTTTGAATATACTGGAGATAGGGTGATGGAGATTCCTGCACAGGGCTGTGTTTGAATATACTGTAGGTAGGGTGATGGAGATTCCTGCACAGGGCTGTGTTTGAATATACTGGAGATAGGGTGATGGAGATTCCTGCACAGGGCTGTGTTTGAATATACTGGAGATAGGGTGATGGAGATTCCTGCACAGGGCTGTGTTTGAATATACTGTAGGTAGGGTGATGGAGATTCCTGCACAGGGCTGTGTTTGAATATACTGTAGGTAGGGTGATGGAGATTCCTGCACAGGGCTGTGTTTGAATATACTGTAGATAGGGTGATGGAGATTCCTGCACAGGGCTGTGTTTGAATATACTGTAGATAGGGTGATGGAGATTCCTGCACAGGGCTGTGTTTGAATATACTGTAGATAGGGTGATGGAGATTCCTGCACAGGGCTGTGTTTGAATATACTGGAGATAGGGTGATGGAGATTCCTGCACAGGGCTGTGTTTGAATATACTGTAGGTAGGGTGATGGAGATTCCTGCACAGGGCTGTGTTTGAATATACTGTAGGTAGGGTGATGGAGATTCCTGCACAGGGCTGTGTTTGAATATACTGTAGGTAGGGTGATGGAGATTCCTGCACAGGGCTGTGTTTGAATATACTGTAGATAGGGTGATGGAGATTCCTGCACAGGGCTGTGTTTGAATATACTGTAGGTAGGGTGATGGAGATTCCTGCACAGGGCTGTGTTTGAATATACTGTAGGTAGGGTGATGGAGATTCCTGCACAGGGCTGTGTTTGAATATACTGTAGGTAGGGTGATGGAGATTCCTGCACAGGGCTGTGTTTGAATATACTGTAGGTAGGGTGATGGAGATTCCTGCACAGGGCTGTGTTTGAATATACTGTAGGTAGGGTGATGGAGATTCCTGCACAGGGCTGTGTTTGAATATACTGTAGGTAGGGTGATGGAGATTCCTGCACAGGGCTGTGTTTGAATATACTGTAGGTAGGGTGATGGAGGTTGCTGCACAGGGCTGTGTTTGAATATACTGTAGGTAGGGTGATGGAGATTCCTGCACAGGGCTGTGTTTGAATATACTGTAGGTAGGGTGATGGAGATTCCTGCACAGGGCTGTGTTTGAATATACTGTAGGTAGGGTGATGGAGATTCCTGCACAGGGCTGTGTTTGAATATACTGTAGGTAGGGTGATGGAGATTCCTGCACAGGGCTGTGTTTGAATATACTGGAGATAGGGTGATGGAGATTCCTGCACAGGGCTGTGTTTGAATATACTGGAGATAGGGTGATGGAGATTCCTGCACAGGGCTGTGTTTGAATATACTGGAGATAGGGCGATGGAGATTCCTGCACAGGGCTGTGTTTGAATATACTGGAGATAGGGCGATGGAGATTCCTGCACAGGGCTGTGTTTGAATATACTGGAGATAGGGCGATGGAGATTCCTGCACAGGGCTGTGTTTGAATATACTGGAGATAGGGTGATGGAGATTCCTGCACAGGGCTGTGTTTGAATATACTGTAGGTAGGGTGATGGAGATTCCTGCACAGGGCTGTGTTTGAATATACTGTAGGTAGGGTGATGGAGATTCCTGCACAGGGCTGTGTTTGAATATACTGGAGATAGGGTGATGGAGATTCCTGCACAGGGCTGTGTTTGAATATACTGGAGATAGGGTGATGGAGATTCCTGCACAGGGCTGTGTTTGAATATACTGGAGATAGGGCAATGGAGATTCCTGCACAGGGCTGTGTTTGAATATACTGGAGATAGGGCAATGGAGATTCCTGCACAGGGCTGTGTTTGAATATACTGGAGATAGGGTGATGGAGATTCCTGCACAGGGCTGTGTTTGAATATACTGGAGATAGGGTGATGGAGATTCCTGCACAGGGCTGTGTTTGAATATACTGGAGATAGGGCGATGGAGATTCCTGCACAGGGCTGTGTTTGAATATACTGGAGATAGGGCGATGGAGATTCCTGCACAGGGCTGTGTTTGAATATACTGGAGATAGGGCGATGGAGATTCCTGCACAGGGCTGTGTTTGAATATACTGGAGATAGGGCGATGGAGATTCCTGCACAGGGCTGTGTTTGAATATACTGGAGATAGGGCGATGGAGATTCCTGCACAGGGCTGTGTTTGAATATACTGGAGATAGGGTGATGGAGATTCCTGCACAGGGCTGTGTTTGAATATACTGTAGATAGGGTGATGTAGGTTACTGCACAGGGCTGTGTTTGAATATACTGTAGGTAGGGTGATGGAGATTCCTGCACAGGGCTGTGTTTGAATATACTGGAGATAGGGCGATGGAGATTCCTGCACAGGGCTGTGTTTGAATATACTGGAGATAGGGCGATGGAGATTCCTGCACAGGGCTGTGTTTGAATATACTGTAGATAGGGCGATGGAGATTCCTGCACAGGGCTGTGTTTGAATATACTGTAGATAGGGGGATGGAGATTCCTGCACAGGGCTGTGTTTGAATATACTGGAGATAGGGCGATGGAGATTCCTGCACAGGGCTGTGTTTGAATATACTGGAGATAGGGTGATGGAGATTCCTGCACAGGGCTGTGTTTGAATATACTGGAGATAGGGCGATGGAGATTCCTGCACAGGGCTGTGTTTGAATATACTGTAGATAGGGGGATGGAGATTCCTGCACAGGGCTGTGTTTGAATATACTGGAGATAGGGCGATGGAGATTCCTGCACAGGGCTGTGTTTGAATATACTGTAGGAAGGATGATGGAGGTTGCTGCACAGGGCTGTGTTTGAATATACTGGAGATAGGGTGTTGTAGATTACTGCACAGGGCTGTGTTTGAATATACTGTAGATAGGGTGATGTACGTTACTGCACAGGGCTGTGTTTGAATATACTGGAGATAGGGTGTTGTAGATTACTGCACAGGGCTGTGTTTGAATATACTGTAGATAGGGTGATGTAGGTTACTGCACAGGGCTGTGTTTGAATATACTGGAGATAGGGTGATGTAGGTTACTGCACAGGGCTGTGTTTGAATATACTGTAGGAAGGGTGATGGAGGTTGCTGCACAGGGCTGTGTTTGAATATACTGGAGATAGGGTGTTGTAGATTACTGCACAGGGCTGTGTTTGAATATACTGTAGATAGGGTGATGTAGGTTACTGCACAGGGCTGTGTTTGAATATACTGGAGATAGGGTGTTGTAGATTACTGCACAGGGCTGTGTTTGAATATACTGTAGATAGGGTGATGGAGATGTTACTGCACAGGGCTGTGTTTGTATATACAGGAGATAGGGTGATGGAGATGTTACTGCACAGGGCTGTGTTTGAATATACAGGAGATAGGGTGATGGAGATATTACTGCACAGGGCTGTGTTTGAATATACTGGAGATAGGGTGATGTAGGTTACTGCACAGGGCTGTGTTTGAATATACTGTAGATAGGGTGATGGAGGTTGCTGCACAGGGCTGTGTTTGAATATACTTTAGATAGGGTGATGTAGGTTACTGCACAGGGCTGTGTTTGAATATACTGTAGATAGGGCGATGGAGGTGTTGCTGCACAGGGCTGTGTTTGTATATACAGGAGATAGGGTGATGGAGGTTGCTGCACAGGGCTGTGTTTGTATATACTGTAGATAGGGCGATGGAGGTGTTGCTGCACAGGGCTGTGTTTGTATATACAGGAGATAGGGTGATGTAGGTTGCTGCACAGGGCTGTGTTTGAATATACTGGAGATAGGGTGATGGAGGTTGCTGCACAGGGCTGTCTGTGAATATACTGGAGATAGGGTGATGGAGGTGTTACTACACAGGGCTGTGTTTGAATATACTGGAGATAGGGTGATGGAGATATTACTGCACAGGGCTGTGTTTGAATATACTGTAGATAGGGCGATGGAGGTGTTGCTGCACAGGGCTGTGTTTGAATATACTGGAGATAGGGTGATGGAGATATTACTGCACATGGCTGTGTTTGAATATACTGTAGATAGGGCGATGGAGGTGTTGCTGCACAGGGCTGTGTTTGAATATACTGGAGATAGGGTGATGGAGATATTACTGCACAGGGCTGTGTTTGAATATACTGTAGATAGGGCGATGGAGGTGTTACTGCACAGGGCTGTGTTTGAATATACTGGAGATAGGGTGATGGAGATATTACTGCACAGGGCTGTGTTTGAATATACTGTAGATAGGGCGATGGAGGTGTTGCTGCACAGGGCTGTGTTTGAATATACTGTAGATAGGGTGATGGAGGTTGCTGCACAGGGCTGTGTTTGAATATACTGTAGATAGGGGGATTGAGGTTGCTGCACAGGGCTGTGTTTGAATATACTGGAGATAGGGTGATGGAGGTGTTGCTGCACAGGGCTGTGTTTGAATATACTGTAGATAGGGCGATGGAGGTGTTGCTGCACAGGGCTGTGTTTGTATATACAGGAGATAGGGTGATGGAGGTTGCTGCACAGGGCTGTGTTTGTATATACTGTAGATAGGGCAATGGAGGTGTTGCTGCACAGGGCTGTGTTTGTATATACAGGAGATAGGGTGATGGAGATGTTACTGCACAGGGCTGTGTTTGAATATACAGGAGATAGGGTGCTGGAGATGTTACTGCACAGGGCTGTTTTTGAATATACTGTGGTAGGGTGTTGTAGATTCCTGCACAGGGCTGTGTTTGAATATACAGGAGATAGGGTGATGGAGGTTGCTGCACAGGGCTGTGTTTGAATATACTGGAGATAGGGTGATGGAGGTGTTGCTGCAAAGGGCTGTGTTTGAATATACTGGAGATAGGGTGATGGAGATATTACTGCACAGGGCTGTGTTTGAATATACTGGAGATAGGGGGATGTAGGTTACTCCACAGGGCTGTGTTTGAATATACAGAAGGTAGGGTGTTGTAGATTACTGCACAGGGTTTTTTTTTAATATACTGTAGATAGGGTGTTGTAGTTTACTGCACAGGGCTGTGTTTGAATATACTGTAGATAGGGTGCTGGAGATGTTACTGCACAGGGCTGTTTTTGAATATACTGTGGTAGGGTGTTGTAGATTCCTGCACAGGGCTGTGTTTGAATATACAGGAGATAGGGTGATGGAGGTTGCTGCACAGGTCTGTGTTTGAATATACTGGAGATAGGGTGCTGGAGATGTTACTGCACAGGACTGTTTTTGATTATCCTGTAGGTAGGGTGTTGTAGATTCCAGCACAGGGCTGTGTTTGAATATACTGTAGATAGGGTGATGGAGATGTTACTGCACAGGGCTGTTTTTGAATATACTGTAAGTAGGGTGTTGTAGATTCCTGCACAGGGCTGTGTTTGAATATACTGTAGATAGGGTGATGGAGATGTTACTGCACAGGGCTGTTTTTGAATATACTCGAGATAGGGTGTTGTAGATTACTGCACAGGGCTGTGTTTGAATATACTGTAGATAGGGTGATGGAGGTTACTGCACAGGGCTGTGTTTGAATATACTGGAGATAGGGTGATGGAGATATTACTGCACAGGGCTGTGTTTGAATATACAGGAGATAGGGTGATGGAGATATTACTGCACAGGGCTGTTTTTGAATATACTTGAGATAGGGTGATGTAGGTTACTGCACAGGGCTGTGTTTGAATATACAGGAGATAGGGTGATGGAGGTTACTGCACAGGGCTGTGTTTGAATATACAGGAGGTACAGCAATGTTAATGTTGCAGGCCCTGATCTACCCCCTGACAGTGGCAGCCAAGTCAAATGTCGTGGCCCGCCAGACGGCTGCCAACAAGATCCTGCAGAATATGTGTGAGCGGAGCAACAACCTGGTGCAACAAGCCATGCTGGTCAGTATCTGTGTTATGCAGGGGTCCGGAAAATTTAAAATCCCAATCGGACATTTGCATTTAGGCCACGCCCCCTTCAAATAGCGTATTTTAGTACGACTTTTCACACACATTACAAGTTTACGTATTCATAACATGATGAATTATGAATTGTTTCAATTTAAATTGTTTAATTCACCGGACAATTAATAACAAATAATATCATTTTAGATTTACATGGAAAACATACGTTTGTTTCTGTTATAATAACGATCTATTAACGTAGTGAACGGTCTAATTAATATTCATGAGTTATATTCATGAGTCTGCTCAAGTGTACGCGTTGTAACATTTGGATCGAGACTATTATCCCATATTTGGTTATCACGTGACCTCACGGGAAAAGTTTTTTTTTAAACTAAAGATTTTTTTAAAAACAAGACAGATAATTTAATCACAAATACTAAAATATCGTTGATAGCAATAGTTATTTGAATACTTTTTTCATCTGTACTTAATTATTGACCATAAAAAAATTGGATATCTATCGTCCGAGAAAACAAAATGGCGGTCAATCAAGATTCAATATACGACTAGCTACTGAAAAAAATAAAATCTGCAAATCCTCATTGTTTGTCAACCAAGTGAAAGCCGTTAGCCACGACTTACAAAATGATCGTCCAGACTTTGAGGGTTTGGCAGATCCGCTCGACTGATCTGCATCGGTCGACTGGCTGTCGTCACGCTTTCGCTTCTTGTCTGAGGTTACGTATCGTCGCATTGTGAGGATAATGAGGTACATCGATGATGCAAGGTATTAATGTACAGTTGTAAACACCTTTCACTCTTAAGATGTTCTCAGTAATTAATCCTCGATTAATCAGTGTCAACTCAGTTTATTGCCTATTACAGTGATTGACTGATTGGACTATCATGTAGGTACGATGTATTTACAGCAATCAAAACAAACAAAGCTTGTCAGTGTAGTTAATCTTCATTGTGTTGCAACTGCAGACAGAAACTGCTCAGTCCTAACTGTTGATCATGTCCGGTCAAAATTTAAGAATGTCCGGACAATACTTTTTAAAATGTCCGGTAAGCAATATTTTATAACGGACATTTGAGATTCCCAATCGGACATGTCCGGCGCATATGACGGTTTCCGGACCCCTGGTGTTATGGATAAAACACCACTCAGATTTGTTGGTTGACAAAGGAAAACCTGATTGAAGCAGTGACTGAGCTTATAAAACACTCAGACAGTTCCTATCTTCCCTGTAGATGTGTGAGTGGGTGGGTACAGGGGTCTCAGACAGTCCCTCTCATCCCTGTAGATGTGTGAGTGGGTGGGTACAGGTGTCTCAGACAGTCCCTCTCATCCCTGTAGATGTGTGAGTGGGTGGGTACAGGGGTCTCAGACAGTCCCTCTCATCCCTGTAGATGTGTGAGTGGGTGGGTACAGGGGTCTCAGACAGTCCCTCTCATCCCTGTAGATGTGTGAGTGGGTGGGTACAGGGGTCTCAGACAGTCCCTGTCTTCCCTGTAGATGTGTGAGTGGGTGGGTACAGGGGTCTCAGACAGTCCCTCCCATCTCTGTAGATGTGTGAGTGGGTGGGTACAGGGGTCTCAGACAGTCCCACTCATCCCTGTAGATGTGTGAGTGGGTGGGTACAGGTGTCTCAGACAGTCCCTCTCATCCCTGTAGATGTGTGATAGGGTGGGTACAGGGGTTTCAGACAGTCCCTGTCTTTCCCTGTAGGTGTGTGAGTGGGTGGGTACAGGGGTCTCAGACAGTCCCTCTCATCCCTGTAGATGTGTGAGTGGGTAGGTACAGGTGTTTCAGACGGTCCCACTCTTCCCTGTAGATGTGTGAGTGGGTGGGTACAGGTGTCTCAGACAGTCCCTCTCATCCCTGTAGATGTGTGAGTGGGTGGGAACAGGGGTCTCAGACAGTCCCTCTCATCCCTGTAGATGTGTGAGTGGGTAGGTACAGGTGTCTCAGACAGTCCCTCTCATCCCTGTAGATGTGTGAGTGGGTGGGTACAGGGGTCTCAGACAGTCCCTCTCATACCTGTAGATGTGTGATTGGGTGGGTACAGGTGTCTCAGACAGTCCCTCTCATCCCTGTAGATGTGTGATTGGGTGGGTACAGGGGTCTCAGACAGTCCCACTCTCCCTGTAGGTGTGTGAGTGGGTAGGTACAGGTGTCTCAGACAGTCCCTGTCTTCCCTGTAGGTGTCTGAGGAGCTGATCCGTGTGGCCATCCTGTGGCATGAGCTGTGGCATGAGGGCCTGGAGGAGGCATCCCGACTCTACTTCGGGGAGAGGAACGTCAAGGGCATGTTCGCAACACTGGAGCCTTTACATGCCATGATAGAACGAGGCCCACAGACCCTCAAGGAGACATCATTTAATCAGGTCAGTGATCATGCTCACTGGTGTTATCTGACAAGTAAAACCAGTTAAAGAGATTTCATTGAGTTTAAAGGTCAATAACCATGAGAGTTTGAACATATTTGTGTTGTTGTTCAGGCCTATGGCCGGGACCTGATGGAGGCTCAGGACTGGTGTCGGAAGTATCAGCGGTCGGGCAACGTGAAGGATCTGACCCAGGCCTGGGACCTGTACTACCATGTGTTCAGGAGGATCTCCAAGCAGCTGCCACAGGTAACCAGGGCTGCATCTTTCAATCAGCTCCATAAACTGAGGATATTCACCTCACTCATCTCACTCAAACCTTTCTTTTGGAAACCGACTGAAATCCCTGTATACTATATACATGAAAAATGTACATGGATTGCTGGCAACTGAAAATTGGTGTTTATTTTTGATATAATGAAGTTTTGCCTATCTTCCCTGTCATCAAGAATATCAATGACGTCCCTGGAGCTGCAGTACGTGTCCCCCAAACTCAAGTGTAACAATTGTCCCCCACTATATGTGCTTGTGTGACACCAGCTGACGTCCCTGGAGCTACAGTACGTGTCCCCCAAACTCAAGTGTACCAATTGTCCCCAACTATATGAGTGCTTGTGTGACGCCAGCTGACGTCCCTGGAGCTGCTGTACGTGTCCCCCAAACTCAAGTGTAACAATTGTCCCCCACTATATGAGTGATTGTGTGACGCCAGCTGACGTCCCTGGAGCTGCAGTACGTGTCCCCCAAACTAAAGTGTAACAATTGTCCCCCACTATATGTGCTTGTGTGACGCCAGCTGACATCCCTGGAGCTGCAGTACGTGTCCCCAAAACTCAAGTGTAACAATTGTCCCCCACTATATGAGTGCTTGTGTGATGCCCGCTGACGTCCCTGGAGCTGCAGTACATGTCCCCCAAACTCAAGTGTAACAATTGTCCCCCACTATATGTGCTTGTGTGACGCCAGTTGACATCCCTGGACCTGCAGTAAGTGTCCCCCAAACTCAAGTGTAACAATTGTCCCCCACTATATGAGTGATTGTGTGACGCCAGCTAACGTCCCTGGAGCTGTAGTACGTGTCCCCCAAACTCAAGTGTAACAATTGTCCCCCACTATATGTGCTTGTGTGACACCAGTTGACGTCCCTGGAGCTGCAGTACGTGTCCCCCAAACTCAAGTGTAACAATTGTCCCCCACTATATGAGTGCTTGTGTGACACCAGTTGACGTCCCTGGAGCTGCAGTACGTGTCCCCCAAACTCAAGTGTAACAATTGTCCCCCACTATATGAGTGCTTGTGTGACGCCCGCTGACGTCCCTGGAGCTGCAGTACGTGTCCCCCAAACTCAAGTGTAACAATTGTCCCCCACTATATGTGCTTGTGTGACACCAGTTGACGTCCCTGGAGCTGCAGTACGTGTCCCCCAAACTCAAGTGTAACAATTGTCCCCCACTATATGAGTGCTTGTGTGACACCAGTTGACGTCCCTGGAGCTGCAGTACGTGTCCCCCAAACTCAAGTGTAACAATTGTCCCCCACTATATGAGTGCTTGTGTGACGCCAGCTGACGTCCCTGGAGCTGCAGTACGTGTCCCCAAAACTCAAGTGTAACAATTGTCCCCCACTATATGAGTGCTTGTGTGATGCCAGCTGACGTCCCTGGAGCTGCAGTACGTGTCCCCCAAACTCAAGTGTAACAATTGTCCCCCACTATATGTGCTTGTGTGACACCAGTTGACGTCCCTGGAGCTGCAGTACGTGTCCCCCAAACTCAAGTGTAACAATTGTCCCCCACTATATGTGCTTTTGTGATGCCAGTTGACGTCCCTGGAGCTGCAGTACGTGTCCCCCAAACTCAAGTGTAACAATTGTCCCCCACTATATGAGTGCTTGTGTGACGCCAGCTGACGTCCCTGGAGCTGCAGTACGTGTCCCCCAAACTCAAGTGTAACAATTGTCTCCCACTATATGTGCTTGTGTGACGCCCGCTGACGTCCCTGGAGCTGCAGTACGTGTCCCCAAAACTCAAGTGTAACAATTGTCCCCCACTATATGAGTGCTTGTGTGATGCCAGCTGACGTCCCTGGAGCTGCAGTACGTGTCCCCCAAACTCAAGTGTAACAATTGTCCCCCACTATATGTGCTTGGGTGACACCAGTTGACGTCCCTGGAGCTGCAGTACGTGTCCCCCAAACTCAAGTGTAACAATTGTCCCCCACTATATGTGCTTTTGTGACGCCCGCTGACGTCCCTGGAGCTGCAGTACGTGTCCCCCTTACTCAAGTGTAACAATTGTCCCCCACTATATGTGCTTGTGTGACGCCAGTTGATGTCCCTGGAGCTGCAGTACGTGTCCCCCAAACTCAAGTGTAACAATTGTCCCCCACTATATGAGTGCTTGTGTGATGCCAGCTGACGTCCCTGGAGCTGCAGTACGTGTCCCCCAAACTCAAGTGTAACAATTGTTCCCCACTATATGTGCTTGTGTGACGCCCGCTGACGTCCCTGGAGCTGCAGTACGTGTCCCCCAAACTCAAGTGTAACAATTGTCCCCCACTATATGTGCTTGTGTGACGCCAGTTGACGTCCCTGGAGCTGCAGTACGTGTCCCCCAAACTCAAGTGTAACAATTGTCCCCCACTATATGTGCTTGTGTGACACCAGCTGACGTCCCTGGAGCTGCAGTACGTGTCCCCCAAACTCCTCAAGTGTGAAGACCAGGAGCTGGCCGTGCCAGGATCCTACGAGCCCAACCAGCCTGTCGTCCGTATCAAGCGAGTTGCCAGCTCCCTGCAGGTCATTACCTCCAAACAGAGGCCACGCAAACTTACTATATATGGTATGTCGTTGGACTTAGCAAAGTGTTTATAACTTACAGGGCTTTTGTTTTGGGAAATAAGCTCCACCCAGCAATGATTGTGGCTTCTAGCTTTTCTTTAATTGATATCTCTGAATTTTGCCATTATTATCATCATCTGACATGGGAATAGTATGTTTTAACCGAAGTGCAGGTGTCGGTGTGTGTGAAGACTGTGCTGTGTCTTCCAGGTAGTGATGGTAAAGACTACCAGTTCCTGCTGAAGGGCCACGAAGACTTGCGCCAGGACGAGAGGGTCATGCAGCTGTTTGGCCTCGTCAACTCACTCCTCAGGAACAATCCCGACACTTTCCGGAGAAACCTCACGTAGGCATTGTTGCATCCTCATCTCATGTTACTGATGACTCCAGTGTGGAGTATGGGGCAGACCAGCTCCTCTGACCTTGCACTAACTTGTCACTAGCCTAGCTACACGTGGTATGTAAGACAAATGACTTCAAGAAGTACCTATACCCGACAAAGCATGGTTGGGTTATCAGTCTGTGGTATGAGCCAGTTACTTTGTATCAGACTAGCTTAGGTCTGTAAAGAAATTTACTTTATTCAGACATCATTCCATCAAATACCCTACCTCTGTTACATCATAGCCATAAATTATTGTTTGGGCTGCAAATCACAACATAAAATCTGTAGATTTTCGACAGAACTCCTCATTGTTACCAGCATATCTAATAGTTGTGAGGATAACCCTATCCTTTGCAGGAAATGAAGCAAACTTTCATAGCCCTGTGAAGAACTTCACTATATTGTGGAATGTGTGGCTGATGGCTTATTCTGTGTCTTTCTTTTTCATTTCTTATTGGAGATTCCTGGTATGCCTTGAATCATTTCATGGTCAGAAGTTGATAGTAAATGAATGAGGTCCGATCATGTTATATTACATTAAGTAATACGTTACCACTGTTATACCGAGGCTGTTGTCTCCCACAACTGCTGCTATAGTGAAATCTACCACAGAGATCTCAATTACCTCATGCAGCACGTGCGTAGCCACCTAGCTGCCATGTGACACCCTTCACTCTTGTCTCCTTCGTCTGCTTAGCAAGACGTGTTTTCTCCTGCTGAAGCGTTCCTTGAAGATTTGGTGATATTTATTATAGTTTATTCTCTAATAAACTGTGCTTTTATGGGGCGTTGCGGTAGCTACGCTTGGTTATAATTTTCCCGCCAAACAGAAAATTTTTCCCCGCCCTTTTTTTCTATATACTTGCGGGGTTCGCGTATGCACGTTGTGTTTTACGTTTCCCCTGTTCTTGTATGTTTTGGGGGTTAACATAACTTATTTCTTTAATAAAAGTTATTTGTGTATGTTATATGTTCACATTGCTCGTTTATTTTCTTGTGAAAATGCTCGTTTGTGAATCATTGTGGTGCGTGCGTTGTAACCATGTTTTGTTCTTTGTTTATAGCAAACAATCAATGTCTGACATGGATATGTCCCCAGTATCCACCCCCTCTACCCCTGCTCCTCGGAGTTGTGGGGTGTGCAGAAAGTTTTTGTCGTCCCGGGATCCCCACGATCTTTGCCCGCGGTGCAGGGTTCCTTGCGGGGACACCCGGTGCACTCTGTGCGAAGGTCTGGGGCCTGGGGAGTTTGAGCGGTACCGGCTGTACGTACAGTCCGTCTCCACCCCTGTGGTGGCCAGTTCGTCCGGTCGAGGGTCCCCGTGCGGGTACCACCTCTTCGGCTGCGGCGGATCCCCTTGCGGGCTGTCTGGGGATTCCGTCGCCGCATTGTTGTCGAAACTTGTGGACTCCAAGCTGGCGGCCTTATCGCAAGATAGGCTGCTGGCTGTTCCGTCCCCGGCCTCTTCGGTGGACGCGGGTTCGGCCTCGGGGTCCACCGGTACGGCGGCGGCTGCCGTGGTTACTGGTCCTTCCCCCGAACCGTTGCTTCCGCTATCGGTTAAGGACCGCGTTGCCATGGTGTATGACCTCTTCGAGGACATGCCAAAGCCCCTGCCGATACCGCGGGGAATCCACGGTTCCGTGGGTTCCTCCGAGGTATACGACGAGACGTCCGACAAGGCTTTCCTGGCATCAACCTTGCTGCGCGGGATTAAGCCTTCTTTGGAGAAGGCCTTCACGGCTGCCTCCGGTCGGGGTCTCCCGTTACCTCCCCCGTCGTGGAGAAAAGGGTCTTTCCCAGTACATGACCTTGCCTTTCCCGAGGCTGGTCCTTCTGCGGAAGCCCATGTGGAGCGTTTGGGGGTCCGTGCCCCACCGGTTGCCACGGTACCACAAGGTACCTTGCAACAGCTGGACACCCTCGCTCGACACTCCATGCTGGCAATGTCTCACGGAGACACATACCTGGCTGCAGCGGCCAGTCTGGTCGAAGGTTCTCCCACGGACCGAGACCAGCGCATTTACAACTGCTTGCTCGGTTTGAATGCTTCCCTGGAGTACGTTGCCGGGGCTTCGGGCTTTGTTTCCGGCACGTGCCATTTTCTTCGGCGCCAGTCGTATCTGGTTGCTTCAGGGTTGGACGCTGCTAATCAGGAGGTGCTCCTTTCGCAGCCTTGGTCTGCTCGGACCCTGTTTAATAACAAGATCCCTGGGGTTCTGAAGGAACAACAGGCCGCTGTGTCTGCCGAGGCCTCTCGGCACACACTGGATCTTGTGGGGTCCTTGCATAGGCGCCTGGGTGCCGCTCCGAAGCGGAGCGCGCCCCAGGATGCTGCGTCCGGCAGGCCTAAGGGGTCGGGTCCTTCTTCCTCCGGGAAGAAGCCCCGCTCTGAGGGCTCCGGTAAGGGTTCTCAGCAGCCCTTTCGCGGGAAGAAGGGGAACTGGGGGAAGCCCAAGTCGTCTAAGGACGGCAAGGGCCCCTCCAGGTGACTCTCATTGGAGGGGTTCGTATGCCGACAGCGCCAACTTCGGTTGGCCCGTAGGCGAGCCCGAGTCACTTGGCCCTGGTCAGTTGCGCCTGCCGCAGCCCGTCCGGCCCCCCTCTCTTTCCCCACTGGGAGCCAGACTCCAGACTTACTGGGAGAATTGGGAACAAGTGTTCGACGACCTGTGGGTGGTCAACACGATTCGGTACGGCTATCGGCTCGATCTCAAAGCGAATCCGCCGCTCACCGTTGCCCCGTCGGCAGGTTTCTATTCGGAAACCGATCTTCCCTTCCTCGCCGATGCCATCGTCAGGTTGGTGGAGAAGAGGGCAGTTCGGGAGTTAGCTCTACCAGAAATAACACCGGGGTTTTACTCCAGGATATTTCTCGTTCCCAAGAAGGACAGTGCCAAACTCAGAATGATTCACAACTTGAAATCTATGAGTTCTACCTGCGCAAACCGCCCAAGTTCAGAATGTTGAGCTTGACGGACCTGAAAGCACTGATCATGCCGGCCGACTGGCTAGCTTCGATCGACCTGAAGGATGCTTATCTGCATGTTCCGATTCACTCGGATCATCACAAGTATCTCAGGTTTGTCTTTCAAGGCAGGCACTACGAGTGGGTTGTACTCCCATTCGGTCTTTCATCCGCTCCCTGGCTGTTCACCCGGTTAACCACCCCCATAGTGGGGTTCCTCCCTGGCTGTTCACCCAGTTAACCACCCCCATAGTGGGGTTCCTCCACCGGAGGGGTGTCCGGTACTTCGCGTACCTGGACGACTCGCTAGTAGCAAATCGAATGACGGACACCCTGTCACGCCATCTCGTTTTCGCACGTCGGCTCTTGGAGCAATTGGGGTGGATTGTCAATCTCCCCAAGAGCGAGTTAACCCCTTCTCAGAACTTGCAGTTCATCGGAGGTCGGTTCAACACGGTGTCCCATCGCCTATTTGTCCCCCCAGACCGGTGGCACAAAATTCAGGCAATGATTGCCAAAGTCTTAGCGGTGCAACAGACTGTTCACTTTTGGGAACAGCTGTTAGGGCTACTTGTATCAGCCCAGGACTGCACCGAACGGGGTCGTCTCCAACTCCGCCCGCTGCAACGGTTTTTAATCCAGTTGTTAGCAACGGAGGTGAACAGTGCGACCGTCGCCCTCCCGGATCGGCTCCGACCGCATCTGGAGTGGTGGACGCTCCCTTACAATGTCTTATCAGGAGTCTCTATGCGGCCCTACCGGGCCACGTTGAACCTGTATACAGACGCCTCTCTAGTGGGCTGGGGCGCCCATCTAGAGGGGGAGGTGAGCTCGGGGCTGTGGTGCGTAGACGAACTAGGTCTTCACATCAATTGTCTCGAGTTCAAGGCAATGATCAACGCAGTCAATCACTGGAAGCATCGTCTCGTCGACACCCGGCTCATGCTGGCGACCGACAACACGACGGTAGTGTCCTATGTGAACAAACTGGGGGGAACCCACAGTCACTCGCTACTCGATCTCACGTTCGAGTTTTACGCTCTGGTGGACAGTGTCCCGTGCCAGATACGCGCCCGTCACATCCCAGGTGTGCGGAACGTACTGGCCGATGCTCTATCGAGGCCTCAGGATCCGAGCCCCACAGAGTGGATGCTGAACCAAGTAGTGTTTCAGTGGCTGTGCGAACATTTGGGTCGTCCGATGGTCGACCTGTTCGCAACACGGTTCAACAATCAACTCCCGTTGTTTGTATCACCAGTCCCGGACCCGAGGGCCATCGATCACGATGCTCTCGCGTTAGACTGGACGGGCTTGGACGCTTATGCTTACCCGCCGACAGCGTTGATACCACACATTCTAAGCCGGCTTCGAGGAGTTCGCTGTCGAATGTTACTGATCGCGCCCCTGTGGCCGAACAGATCGTGGTACCCCGACTTGCTGACCCAGGTCACGCAGTCGCCACTCCCACTGCCTGTGGATCTCTTGATCCACCCTCACACCCGTCAGCTTCATCCAAACGCAGGGCAGTTCAATCGGCACGCGTGGATGTTGTCACCGAGCGTCTGAGGAGTAAAGGTTTTTCTCGCCGGGCGTCTCGGGCATACGTTAGTATGCATCGTGATTCTACCCAGAAGGTGTATAATGCACGTTGGGTTATTTTCACGAAGTGGTGTTGTAAACATCACATTCATTCGCCAGATAAGGTATCTGTGCAGGATATTGCTCGTTTCAGGTCTCACTTGCGAGAGACCCGGAAACTCTCCGGGGGTTCCATTGCCAACTATGTCTCGTCCGTTGCTACGGTATGGGACGTTGCTATGGGTACCAGTCTCTCCAAAGAGCCGGTGATACGGGGTATTATCAAGGGTTTCAAACAGCACGATCTTAAGAAGGGCCGCCTTCGGGCACCGGCCTGGGATCTTTCCCTGGTGTTGCAATCACTTACGGTAGCTCCGTATGAACCCTTGCATAGTGCTTCGTTCCGGCATGTGACTTGGAAAACAGCATTTCTCCTCTCCTTTGCCACGGCGGCACGTGTATCCGAAATTCATGCACTCGATGTCGCCAAGGTACAATTCGATAGGGGTGACGAAGGAGCGGTCCGCCTGGGCCTGCTCATGGGCTTCGTCGCCAAGAATCAGAGAGTCGGGCAAACGGAGAGAGAATTCACTGTAAGATCCCTCAAAGAAATCTTACATCCTGCTGATACTGAGGACAGAGCGCTGTGTCGGGTTAGGGCCCTTAAGTATTATCTTAAGGCTTCGAATGAACGTAGACAAGGGCGTGACCGTCTGTTCATATCGTGTAACCCTAATCGCACGGTTGACATAACTCGCAACTCGATTGCGTTGTGGCTTCGTTCTGTCATCAATCTGGCGTACCGGTCTCAGGGGTTACCGGTAGCGGGGTCAAACCCGCACGAGATCAGGGCGCTAGCGGCAACATTTGCCCTACACTCGAATATCTCTGTTCACAGAATATTACGAGGTTGATACTGGCGTTCTGACTCGGTTTTTGCCAATCATTACCTCAGAAAGGTTTCTGATGAAGACGTGGAGGGGGTGCACCATCTTGGGCCGCTGATCGCGGCACAAGCGGTCATCTAGGGGGTGTGTCCAGCGCAATTCCAAACTCCGCAGTCGTCAGTCCTTGCACGGTGGTCAATCTGGGTCGTCTCCAATGTTCCCACGCCGTGGGTACAGGAGTGGGGGTCCTGCAAACCAGCGCACTCACACCACAGGTGAGGCGGCTTTTTGTGTGTTTTGTCCTTATTTGTATTTTGACAATTATGCATTTAATTGTCTGTCGTGTATTCCAACCTTGCGATACATGCTTACGAATACTGGAATTAGGTCACGCGCCTAATGCATACTTTAAGTAGGCTTGCTCTGGGATATACGGTCTGAAGGAAATTAATTTCCCTCTTTTCGACTGTTTAACCTGATCTAAGATTTAGCTCACGCGGATACAGTGTTCTCATCCGCTGCGGCGATGAAATACCTATCCAGTGGGGCCGTTTGGAGTCACTAATCGTTTTGGCATTGACGATTGAGCCTTACGGTATGCGCTTGACAGTGCTTTGGTATTCCTATAGGGTAACGCCTAGCTAGGTGCATGCGCATCGAGTGCTTCCGCCTTGGTGTTTACTTCCGCTGGTCGAAAGGAACGCTAGCAGTCAGGATTCGGGTTGTGGGTGCTCCCCACCGCCTACTGTGGTAGTCAGCCTCGGTATAACAGTGGTAACGTATTACTTAATGTAATTTGTAGAATTTTCCTATTCGGAATATTCTATAAGTAATACGTTACCACTGGGCTGCTGCCCGCCCGTCCGTCCCCCGAGCACTTGCTCTCGCAGGAGACAAGAGTGAAGGGTGTCACATGGCAGCTAGGTGGCTACGCACGTGCTGCATGAGGTAATTGAGATCTCTGTGGTAGATTTCGCTATAGCAGCAGTTGTGGGAGACAACAGCCTCGGTATAACAGTGGTAACGTATTACTTATAGAATATTCCGAATAGAAAAATTCTACAAATTCTTCATGTGGGCTTTCCTTTTGCCAGGATCACACGATTCTCAGCCATCCCTCTCTCGACCAACTCAGGGCTGATCGGATGGGTGCCGCACTGTGACACACTACATTCCCTGATCCGAGACTACCGCGAGAAGAAGAAGATCCTGCTCAACATAGAACACAGGCTTATGCTGCGGGTGAGTGTGGCAGCCTCACAATGCTGGACATACACAGAAACAAGAGCTTTAGCTTCTTCTTTTTAATTCCTTGTTAGTTTTCAAGTGAGCAGAAGTACCCATCCATCACAGGCTAACATAGCTGCACACTACATTCTGGAGTGTTTCACATCTGTATCATTAGTCATCTTGGTCCATTGTAGCCATGTCTGCATGCCACCTTCAGAGTAGATATGTTTAACTTGCTCCTCCCCACCCCCAGATGGCCCCGGACTATGACCACCTGGCCCTGATGCAGAAGGTGGAGGTATTCGAGCATGCCCTGGAACACACACAGGGCGATGACCTGGCCAAGATACTCTGGTACAAGAGCCCCAGCTCTGAGGTGAGATACTGACATGGGTAATGTGGCTCCCTGAGCTGACTGATCACATTGCGCCTTTGGTGGAAGGAGATATGACAGAAAGGTTCTGTAAATCGGTGATGTTCCAAGAATAAGGAAAGAAGTCTCAATTCTTCTTGCTCATCATTTTATATCTTCTGTCTTTATTTGTGCAGGTATGGTTTGATCGTCGGACCAACTACACGCGCTCTCTGGCTGTCATGTCTATGGTGGGCTACGTCCTGGGACTCGGGGACAGGTGAGAGACAGCTGTCTGTTGTATCTACTCCTAGATCTAGCTCTGTGCCAACTGTCACACAGGAACTTGCAGGAATGATTGATGAATGTCTCCCACTCTTCCAGGCACCCTTCCAATCTGATGTTGGATCGTATGAGTGGCAAAATCATCCACATTGACTTTGGTGACTGCTTCGAGGTTGCCATGGTGAGGGAGAAGTTCCCTGAGAAGATTCCCTTCCGATTGACGAGGATGTTGATGAATGCCATGGAGGTGGGTCAGACTGTCAGGCATCAATGGTTGACAATTAGCAAGACTAATATAGTAACCATGTCAATGTGGCACAGAGTGACAGCAACACTGTAACTGGGTAATAATAAATTAATACACATTACATAGTACATGGCAATAGTGTCATGCAACAGCATGGCATTGTTAGGATGGGTTCATACAATTCTAAGATGGAGTCGTGCCTTAGCAGGAGCGGCGTTACAAAGATGATGTCGTGCCTTAGCGGGAAAGGCATTACAAATAAGCAATAGGAGCATGGTATTCCTAAGATGTTGCGTGCCTTAGCAGGAGAGGCGTTACAAACATACAATAGGAGCATGACATTCCTAATATGGTGTCGTACCTTAGGAGGAGAGGCATTACAAACATACAATAGGAGCATGACATTCCTAATATGGTGTCGTACCTTAGCAGGAGAGGCGTTACAAACATACAATAGGAGCATGACATTCCTAATATGGTGTCGTACCTTAGCAGGAGAGGCGTTACAAACATACAATAGGAGCATGACATTACTAAGATGGTGTCGTGCAACACCAGTATGACCTTACTGAGGTGCCGTGCGCTTTACATTTTTGCTGATGTGTAACAGTGACATCTCTAAGAAATCTGTGTGATCACTGGACCTAAGAGATTCATTGAAATTACACTTCTTGCCCTGTTGTTACAAGGCTTTGTCAAATATGTGCCAGTCAGATCACTTGATAACTGTCTATCCTCTAACAATATGAGTAGATTAGCTTGCTGACATCACCATCTGTGACACTTGGCTTGTATTGCAGGTGACGGGTATTGACGGCAACTATCGCATGACGTGTGAGAGCGTGATGCATGTACTGAGAGACCATAAGGACAGTCTGATGGCCGTACTGGAAGCCTTCGTCTACGACCCCTTGCTCAACTGGAGGCTGGTTGATGGTAAGAGCTCACTGTGCAGCTGTAGTTTTACCCATCCATGTGTTGTACAAGATTGATTGATGCATGGATTTAACATGATTAATTTATTGTTTTCAGCAACAACAAAGACAAAGACAAAAACCAACAGGTCCGATTCCTACTCTGGAAGTCAAGAACAAGGTACAGAGAAGATTTGATTCACTTTCGACAGGAATAACCCTGCAGATTTAAACAAAGCTATGAGTCTACAATGTGTGCATGGTTGTGTTGGGATCAAGCTAAGGCTGTCATTGCAAGGAATCCCATTCTAATGCAAATAACCTCTATGCCATCAATTAGCTTCAGCTATTGTGATATTTATTTGCACTAAAAAAAGTTTTGAGGTAATTCATAATTTTGAGAATTCTTTTTTTTCTTCCAACCAAGTTGGTCAAGTAGACTAAAGCTTCAGAATAGGGAACACCTTTCATGTGAATGACATGGTGAAATCAGGATGGAAAAAGACTCACTTTGGTTTCCTTCACATCAGGTGACCTGTTGGAGAGTGTGGAGCTGAATCAGTCATCCAGCAAGAAGATCGGACCTGAGAGTGTGTCGGGGGGATCAGGTGGGTACATGCAGGTCACTGTACGATGTCAGATGGGTACATACAGGTCACTGCACGATGTCAGATGGGTACATGCAGGTCACTGTACGATGTCAGATGGGTACATGCAGGTCACTGTACGATGTCAGATGGGTACATGCAGGTCACTGTACGATGTCAGGTGGGTACATGCAGGTCACTGCACGATGTCAGATGGGTACATGCAGGTCACTGTACGATGTCAGATGGGTACATGCAGGTCACTGTACGATGTCAGATGGGTACATGCAGGTCACTGTACGATGTCAGGTGGGTACATGCAGGTCACTGTACGATGTCAGGTTGGTGCATACAGGTACATGTACAATGTCATGCTTGCTGTAAAAGGCGACTATGCTTGTCGTACTTGCAGGTCACTGTACGATGTCAGGTTGGTGCATACAGGTACATGTACAATGTCATGCTTGCTGTAAAAGGCGACTATGCTTGTCGTACTTGCAGGTCACTGTACGATGTCAGGTTGGTGCATACAGGTACATGTACAATATCATGCTTGCTGTAAAAGGCGACTATGCTTGTCGTACTTGCAGGTCACTGTACGATGTCAGGTTGGTCCATGCAGGTACATGTACAATGTCATGCTTGCTGTAAAAGGCGACTATGCTTGTCGTACTTGCAGGTCACTGTACGATGTCAGGTTGGTGCATACAGGTACATGTACAATGTCATGCTTGCTGTAAAAGGCGACTATGCTTGTCGTACTTGCAGGTCACTGTACGATGTCAGGTTGGTGCATACAGGTACATGTACAATATCATGCTTGCTGTAAAAGGCGACTATGCTTGTCGTACTTGCAGGTCACTGTACGATGTCAGGTTGGTCCATGCAGGTACATGTACAATGTCATGCTTGCTGTAAAAGGCGACTATGCTTGTCGTACTTGCAGGTCACTGTACGATGTCAGGTTGGTGCATACAGGTACATGTACAATGTCATGCTTGCTGTAAAAGGCGACTATGCTTGTCGTACTTGCAGGTCACTGTACGATGTCAGGTTGGTGCATACAGGTACATGTACAATGTCATGCTTGCTGTAAAAGGCGACTATGCTTGTCGTACTTGCAGGTCACTGTACGATGTCAGGTTGGTCCATGCAGGTACATGTACAATGTCATGCTTGCTGTAAAAGGCGACTATACTTGTCGTACTTGCAGGTCACTGTACGATGTCAGGTTGGTGCATACAGGTACATGTACAATATCATGCTTGCTGTAAAAGGCGACTATGCTTGTCGTACTTGCAGGTCACTGTACGATGTCAGGTTGGTGCATACAGGTACATGTACAATGTCATGCTTGCTGTAAAAGGCGACTATGCTTGTCGTACTTGCAGGTCACTGTACGATGTCAGGTTGGTGCATACAGGTACATGTACAATGTCATGCTTGCTGTAAAGGGGACTATGCTTGTCGTAAGAGGCGACTAACGGGATCGGGTGGTCTAACTCGTTGATTTGTTTGATACATGTCATCGTATCCCCATTGGTCCAGACTAGATTATTTACAGACCACCATCATATAGCTGGAATATTGCTAGGTGTGGTGTAAAACAACAAACAAACAAACAAAACAAAAACCATACAATAGAGGCTTGCTTTAAAATGTCTCCTCAGTAGCAAGAAGTCATTGTCGCTGAAATTCCCTTTTGTTCAGGTTGACTAATTGTACAAGTTCCTTCCGTAAATCACTCAGCTAGCCTGATGAGTGCAGATATATATTTTGTATTGTGTTCTGACAGGAGATGACAATGTGCCATCAGAAGTGTTGAACAAGAAGGCAATCTCCATTGTCAATCGAGTTCGAGACAAACTTACAGGTAAGTCAGTATAACTTACTTGTATTGAAACAACTGATATGTCCTTCATAAAACTTGTCGCCTCTCTCAAATCCTTAGTAATGGGGTTTGTGCATTACCTTCCCAGAGACAGGTTTCTTGAGGTCACTTATAGCAAACTGATATGTGCTTACTAATCCACTGGACAGGTTTTCTTATGCATGTGGAAATAAGTAACTAAGCTCACATATCTGGCTTTGTACATGACAAGCTTCTTGTCAAGATAGTTTGATAGCCTCCAAAATCTGTTCCCCTTAAATGGCTGTACAGTCGAATCTCGTTGTGTCGAACTTGGATGTGTCGAATTCCCGGTTGTCTCGAATTCATTTGGGAGACCAAAGTATCCAAATAAAGCCTAAAATTCACCTGATGTCTCGAATGCCAGGTAACTTGAACTTTCCAGATCTCCACAAGTTCGACACATCGAAATTCGACTACTTTAGGAATTGAGTAACTTGAAATCACTTGTGAATTTGAAACTTATTTTTTTATTAGGACTGGAAAAATAATAAAATGTATGAGGTCCATCTTCAGAAATGTTTGTCTAAAGATTTTGAGTTATGATCTTCTAAAGAATCAGACATACTATTAAGTGGATGGTTACTTTTGTTGTGGCCAAATATTGTTTTTATCTCTGTATTTGTGTTGATGAAGCTGTAGGAGCATGTTTGTGTTTCAGGCCGTGACTTCAGCACAGAGGATGCCATTGATGTGAGGAAGCAGGTGGAGTTGCTGATACACCAGGCCACCTCTCACGAGAATCTCTGTCAGTGCTACATAGGCTGGTGAGTAGTCTCCCTTGGAACATCCAGGGTGCTAACACTGCATGAACTAACTGTGGGGAATTGATACAATACAAAGATGGCCACTGCTTTCAGAATATTATTCTAAAGAACGAAACAACAGGATGAAGAAATTGAAGGAAACAGGATGTTCACAACAGCTGCAGCATAATCAGTGACAGACAGTCCTTTAATATGAGGAAGATAATAATAGAATTTTTACTACCTGCAACCTCTATTTTATTTTATTCTTCCTTTGCTCCCCTTTATCTGTTCTTGGTTTGTAACTGCTTTTGTTCTGACTCAGGGACCAGTTATACTGTTACGGGGCTTTTTGGGGGGGGGGAGTGCCTGAGGTACAGGTCTGATGCTCTAAAGTACTGAAAAGGCTCGTCATACTTTGTCATTGTCATGACCCTCCCCAGTATATTAGTGACTGTCATGCTTTTGTGACCCTCCCCTGATTCCCTCCGACCCATAGGCCCCTGACCTTTAGTTTTTGTAGCCTCCTTGTGCTGACTATCAAATGTTATTTTTTCAGGTGTCCATTCTGGTAATCTGAAGGCAGCAGAACTTTGAAGAGAGAGAACACAATGCTGGCCGTGTATATAAGAACTTGCTGCATTGTGTAATGGATTTAAAGGTAGATTTAGAATGTGATGTCCAGTGGCCAAGTACCTCCCCTTTTGAAGACTTGCAGTATCACACTGTTTTGGGCTACAAGGGATTCTTGGTGTAAGATATTTCCCACATTTGGTTGACCAAATTACTCATTTTGCTAGGTCCAGCTATGGCATGTGTAAACAGCACAGGTGCACTGATAGCCCATTGCTCTGGGCATTACACATGTTCCTGGCACTGTGGAGTCCGACTCTGGAAAACCAGGCAGGAATAGTTTGATCTTCAAGTGTATAGCATTTTTTGCAAATACTTATCCTTCCTATTGATCACACTTACATATGTGCAGGCACATGTACAAGACAAGCAGTGGAACTGTATTGCAGACATTACTATTATGGAATCATCATGTGAAGCCCAATTCTGGTGTTCCCTGCCGTGATGTAACCCTCACTCACTCACTCACTCACTCACTAGTCAAGCTGAGAGATGTGTTAATATGACTGAATCCACTTGTAGAGTGTAGTTGACAGATGTTTGGCAAAGGTCCATAACATTATTATAATGATAACTTCGTTCACTGTGTCAGTAAGACTAAACATCATCCAAAGATATGTAGAGAACTGACAGTTACGGTAGTTCAACCATTGCTATTGGAGAGGTAACTCCAGAAAGAACCTGCATTTCCAGGGACAGAGCAGCATGAAGCAGCCAGATTCTTGGTATGCATCCTCTTTTTAAACATTTGTGTGATCACCCACTCATCTTCATTTGTGTCTGTACATTGACAGGGTGGACATTACTCTTCAGCAAGTGTATCTTGAAGCACCATTACTCAGTCAGATCTTGGTTAGAGTGATCTCCCCTTGGCACTGTAGCATCTGCTCCTGTCAGAGAAGACTGCTCCTGTCCTAGTGGTTCGTCTGCCCATGTCACTTTGGCAATTAAGGGGCCAGTATACATTATTTTTCATTCTAGAGTGAACATTTGTTTCATAATAAATCAACAGCCAGGTTTTAGTCCTGGGTTCAATCAAATCTTGATTATTTGTCAGGGACCAGATTAATAATTTTTACTTTTATTTAGGAATATACAAAAATGATCATAACAAAACTATTTTTAGTTAATCATGTTCAGTGATAATCTGTGAATATTTCGTGGAGTCCCCATGGTAATAAGAACCCTGCTTATGTGTTATGTGCAGTTGGTGAATATCATTACTCAATAGAGAGTTTGTGCTGCCCATTTAAGCCAAAGAAAGTGCCATAACTGTGTGTGGTTATCAAGTCAGCAATCATTCAGAATTAAACATAGGGCATTAGGGAGATTGAGTGGAAGTTACTGATGTCTAAGTACTGAGTTGAATTTCCTTCCTGAAGTTGTTACTGATTGTTACCTTACTGATTTCTTCTCAATGTTGAATGTTGTGGTCACAGCTACAGCTGTCAAATTGTTGCAATAATTGTGTACATGTGAAAGTAATAATCCTGCATCATGCAACAATTTGTTGAAGATGAGAAAATGTATTGCAAACAGGATGATTTGTCTTTAAACAGGGCTCGATTTAGCTACTGGTATATGTAGCATGCACCAGTGCAACCTATTATTGAAAAATGAAACCTAATATTTTTGTCTACATGCACGAAATTATATTAACCATGCAACATCACTTATCCCAATGTGTAATTTGTCATGCTTTATTGGGCTTGATGTCATCAAACCATGTGCACTTCAAGATTATGTCCACCTCTTCCTGTTATGTTTTGCAGCAGACCGGGTTTCAAATGTGATTAAGTTATGGGACAACTAGGTTTTCATGTCAGCCATGCACCTGGTGCATGTAAATCTTGTTCTTTAAATCGAGCCCTGCTTTATGGTATTCTTGAAAAATCAAAGGTCATTTCATCTTATTTATCCCAGAATGCTTTAACTTTGAGTCCCCACCCAATCTTTCAGAAATCTGATGACCTTGACATAAACTTGGAAGCAGATGTGCACTATTTTCTTATTGAGTACATGTAATAAGGACATATGTCGAAACTGTTTTCAGGGTCACACTTAATTGTTTTTGTACATACAATGAAATTGAATTTTGAAAATAATTTAAGAATTGTTTTGTCTTTCTTTCCAATGTGTATTGAAGTTCTTTGATGTGCATGTGTTCAGGTGTGTGGTTGGTTGATGAAAACACCTAGTGATGATTCATGTGGAGGTGAACACTGAGTTCGACTTGGTCACACATATATTTATATTATACACACTGTGATGTGGCTGTTTTCGATATTCAAATACAGTGAAGCCTGTTACTTGATCCTCTAATACTTCATGTGTTAGTTGAAATGTCACTGGTTTCTGTTTTTGTTCCTTTAATAATGTTCCAATAATGATTTGCACTTGTGCAGATTGATTTGTCTCACAACTGAAGCTTGCTTCCATATTGAGTCCTTAAAAGGGCATGTGTGTGTCTCAACAACCATTAATAACCGTTTATCTTGGAAAGCTTCAAACAGGTGGATCATCCATTTAGAAGTTATTCATGTTGTCATAATTGTCACTGGTAAGCTGTTATCTATACTTTTTGATTTGCATAAATTACAGGTTTCTGATGTTCGTGAAAGGAGGTCATGTGAGAAGAATTAATATGCAGACATTTTGAAATAGCCGCCATCTTATATCATTCAATTTAATTCATGAAATTAATGCGAGTAGTCCCACTTTTGAACTTCAGAAACTAATCAGCAAATGATAACACCAAGGAGACTTAGGAATTCCATCACACAAACTGATAGCTGCCCAAATGTTTACTTAATCCTGCATTACATTTTGCTTTTCCTTCAAAAACACAACCTGCCCTCTCTGCACCAGCCAACATACTCTTCTTGTTGCCAATGAAAACAGATCATCTGTGAATGGCATCCTTTGTTACCTTTCGGTTTCTGTATTCACGTGGGTATTCTATTTACATATATTGGTTCCTTTTCGCAGGCCTGTTGTCCTGTGGTTTTGTAGTAATTATCTTGTTTCCCACCATTTTGGAACTTGCTTTTAGCTGGGGTTTCCTAGATGACATGCCTCGCTGTCATGGGTGCCTGAAACCTAAGTCAGCTTACAAGAGTTCTGGCCTGGTTCTAAACCACAGTGTATGCTGTTATCAAGGTCAGACGTTTGTCAACCCTCGCCTATTTCTACCTTCCGAGTGTGTCACAAGAGGTGGCTGCATCAACATCAATGATGTCGTTGCAAGATGGCAAATTCTTTGAGTGCAGTTATTGTGGTCACCAGCATGCCACTAGCTCTGTAGCATCTCTGGGGAGTCCCAATGTCGGCAGACTAGCATCTCCCAGGTGACGGTTCAATTGGACAAAGTAGCCGTGCCTCTACAGGCCAGACTACTCCTGACACTTGAGAGTGTACACAGAGTAGCCGTTCACCAGTCTGGCAGGCACCAGGTCCTTCTGATTCACCAGAGAGATGACATGCGCCTGCGACTCTGCAGCAATCGACACCTTGTCAGCACGCCAGTTCCTCAAAGCAGGAAGGCTGCTCGAAGCTCGACAGGTGTTCTTTGGCTGATGAGGTACCCAGCACATCTCCCTTCTCCTATGTCTGACAGGTCGTAGGATGTTTCTGACCCTCACTGTTCTTCTCCGGAACAGGACTGCCCTGATTACGATTGGTTCCCTCGGATCATGTACCATTCTCAAACCACCACGCTTCAAGAAAAGATCCCCCTCCCATGCACCTCCTGCTGCTGAGGATGCTTAACGGGATCATCAAGCTTTGCTTCTTATCAACCAACTCGCCCCTCTGTTCATCAGCTGGAACCTATGGGACGAAAACAACCAAGTCCTCCACTACAGAGGCAGGTACAAGCCAGGTCGGGACACTCCTCCTGTTGCCAAGCCTCCTCTCACACAACCTGTAGAAGAACTTCTTGACGGAGTGGATGCTACACTGGGACACTTCAAACTTCCTCTGTCAGCCGAATATCGAACTGTCTGCCAGAAGCAACAACCGTCAACTTCTGATTTACATCTCACCTGTTCCATTGGCATGGGCAGTAGATATACAGGCACACCCATGGCCAAATGTGTTCTCCCTGCAGGCAGCGCAGACAATTACTCGGAATCTCGCTGCCATTAATACTGTGTTGGCAGTTCCACGTGATCAGAAAATTTTATCCTCGAGCCATCTTATCCCTCAAGGCTGGGAACTACGGTCATTTTAACCTCTCTTTCGTTCCACTGAACTGATGTTGGACCATAACATGAGTATACCTTGCAGTAGCTGTGTAAAGAATCTCGCCTGATGTTACAATACCTACCCACTGGCTTGGATAACCAGTCAACACTAAAGCTATGCCCTCCTCCCTATAGCAATATGTAATGCAGGATTAAGTAAAACTTCATCAACATCTGATATCTTTTACATCTTCAGTGGGCAGGTTCATGTTCAGGAACAGATTCTTTTCTCAAGGGATGACGTTTCCAGTCATGTTTTCGCAGGATATGCATTAATTATATCATATTCACTAACTTCAATTGCCAAAACACTGAGTGAGGGATATTCACATTGTTTGCATTAATTTCATGATTTACAGTTTTAATTGTATTTCACATAGGCATAGATCTGTTTGCTTATCTAACAGTAACTGCTTTAGTTACCATCCACTCTCGAAGACAATATATGTAGTAGGCTGCTGTTAATGTAACAGTCCAAGACTGTAACCCTTGTTGACAGGAAAATAAAACATTCAACCTTGATTAAATGTGGAGCGATTGTTGCAGACACTAGTGTCATGGAGTAACATGGTCAACTAATCAAAACACCATCAGTGTTTACAATACTCATTTATTCCTCAGCTTATGCTCAAAGAAGTGAATGTGTGACCACTATTGCAGAAAAGAAATACAATTTATATACATTTGCAATAAGGATAAGATGAAATAAATTAGAAAATATAATAGTTGCACAAACTCCGTGGTTTAACATCATAACAAATTAACATGGACAAGAACTGTTGGATCCATTTGGTATATGAATAATGTATCCATATATCATGCAGCTGGTCCCTAGACACAGAGTTTACTGTAGACAACAAGTAGGACCCACTTACACAGGTCAGTCTGTGGCTTGACCTGTGGAAATGAGTCAAGACCTCAACAAACACATATGGACTTTGCAGGCAACAACAGAGAATAACCTTACAAGATTTTTGTAACACAACCATTCATCATTTTTTCCCAAACAGCTTTATAAAAATGGTTCAGTTTAGAAAGGTCTTTTGGGAGGAACGTGTAACCACCAAACACTGAAACAGGCAATGCTCTTAACCTTAGGTCTTGAGATTCAATGTGAGGTCAATTTCGTATTTATTGCAGATGTCATATCACATGTGTCCTAAGGTAAGACCGGACTAAACAATAATGACTACATGGAAAGCATATATGTTACTATATTAACATAATCTGTAAACCAATAACAATTGTCCCCACTTCTGTCCAGGCTGGAGCAAGTTCACACACGCAGACTCAACATCTGGTCAGAATTACACGTTTCCTACAAACTTTGAACAATGATTTTTAGTTATATTTGATATATATACAGTATGCATATTGATTCATAATAATTCCCCCAGTATTTATAATGAAAATTAGTGGTTGAAATATTCACTCGTCACGCCGAAGACCCGAGTTCGATTCCCGACATGGGTACAACGTGTGAAGCCCATTTCTGGTGTCCCCCCGCCGTTATATTGATGGAATATTGCTTAAAGCGGCGTAAAACCACTCACTATAATGCAATTTAAGTAGTGATTAGAATCAATAGTGCTGATAAATTGAGACAAGTTCTTAAAATGCTTACTGCTGAGAAACATGACATGTACATGTATATACATACTAACTCATTTACACAAAGTGTCTTGGGAATATTTTGGAAGATGTAAGAAATACTGATAAGTCCTCTCCACACACAGAGAAAACATAGCACTTTCAACAACAAGGATGTTGTGACAACATGAGACTTTCAACAAGTTGGTAGTTACATCTAGACATGGTACTTGCTGACCACGATACTTTACCCCTTGATTTCAGGACTAGTCATGTTAACTTTCAAACCATTTGTTACAAATCACAAAACTTGCTCTATTTTCAGCATACTTCACAAGCAGGCAAACATTAGGATACAAAACTAGACTGTTCATTGATGACAGTATATATATTTTGCCTTCACTATCACATAGCACTTCAAAGTGTTGCTTGGAATTCCAATGCTAGCAAAAATAAACCAGGATCTCTTGCACATACATTGACAAAGGACCAAAGTAGCATTTTGCTACATCAAGCATGACTCACACACTGTGGACAATGATCACAAAGGGGAATAACCCTGTACTACCAATATCAACTGTTTGTTCTTTGCTTCATTACAAAAATACAAGCCTCATACAAAACCAAGATTATGGCATCAAAATAAGCTATTCAGCACCTGGTATGTCAGTCAGTCATAGCAGGAGAGGTGACAACTATGAATACTGACTAGCATGTCTTAACCACAGTTTAGCACAACTGAAAGTTGAGGGCAATGAGATTTTCAAGCTGATGGTGTTATATCAACATAAATAAGAAAGTCGGGACCTGGGAGTTGCTGCCAGACGATGTTTCGAGGTAGCTAGAGTACAGATTATGTATTTTCAAAAGGATTCTCTGCTGGTCATGGACAAAAAAATAGCACATTAGTTTTGAGGAGAGGTTCGGCACAATAATAGGTATTATTCTGAGGGGATTCTAACAACAAACAATAATTTTGTTTAACAATACTGAAACAAAATATATCGGGACACACATTTATATCAAATTTTAGCACAGAGCAGCTCAGTTTCTGAGAAAAAAAGACATTTGGAGCAAAATAGTTTACAAGAGAAGGAACGTGAATCGTGCTGATGGATCTAATCACAAAGTTTCAGCTTTTATCATCATGATTGACTTGAAAGGAGATGTTTAAAAAATCAATTTCTTTTGTTGTCATTTCACACAAAATATATGAATAATGGAACAGAAACGTTTGAACAAACTTTGGGATTATGATTAGCAGGAACATGTATGCCCAGTGGTGCCCAGCTGCTGGACAGAAGGACATGACCTCACGTGCAGTGAGTTGGGTTTAACGCCGCTTTTAACATTATTCCAGTTACCAGTATATCAAGGCGTGCGAGCTTAATGTGTGAGGAGAGACTGAAGGGATGCAGGTTACCACTTCTGTGGAACGTTTTATCCTGATCACATGATGTTATGACATCAGAACAAGTGCCTAGAATGTGTACATGGTAATGTGATCCCCACAATGATAATGTTTATTATCTTTTGATTATGTTTTCAACATTGTCTCCCTGAGTTGACCTACTTGGCATGCTTTTATCAAGGCCTGAAATACTTGGGAGAATAACCAGTGAGCTACTAAGAATTATGTATCATCTGCCCGAGTGAAAAAATAGTGTTAATCCCAAGCCTTTGGTGAGGGAGTATTCATTCATGAGAATGACAGATTAACGTTCGAGGAGGTTATTCTGTGTATTACACAATGTCATTTTAAGAAAGAAAATAAAGAAAAACGTATGAAGTGTCCACCTACAGATACACATCACTGAAGGCAGCCTATTCTTCAGATAACGTCATGTAATCAATTTGTGATGTCATGAACAATGGATGATGTGTCGCATGTTTCTCAACACTGAAGCTTTCCAACATAGTATGGCTTCAGCTGAGAATCATAAAATGCACATGTGCAAATATTGGTAAGCTATTACACGTGATCATTCTACCCTAATGAGTAATTTATACCATGGGCCCCCAGCAAGGAGTTGCTGTCCACAGGTTAACATCACATGTTGAAACCTCACTGACCAGCACTCTTACTCTCTCATGATGGTCACACAGAAGCAGTATACAACAGGGGTTAGTATGAATACCCCACAAAGAAGGGACCATCTTGGTATCCTCAACATGATCAATCTAATATCAGGCCTCACCACTTTATTCTCGGGCACCAGGCAGTGAAAGCTTTGTTGGGCAACCTGTGTGTTTCCATGTCAACACATTTATTTGTAAAACGTTTCATTGATCTGCCATTCTCAGAGCAGATGCTGATGTCTAAAGAATCATTTTACATCAATATTAATGCCACTCATTGCACACCCTAATGGCAATAATCTACCATATTCAAATACCCAAATTACATTTTAGACTAGTTTTAGTTATGGATAGAACCAAACCAATTATATTGACCCTCAAAATGATCATGGCCTTTATCATAATGCCTGATGAATTGTTGCACTACAATGTTATCAAAGATAACATATATCTTATAACAACAGAAACCCACTGATCATAGTGTAGTAGAAGTAACGGGATGTAGACCTTGAACCAGTATCGTTGGTTTCAAATTGGCTGTCAGCATGTCTAGATGGTATAAATACTTCCCATACAAAGCTGATTCTGTTGGTGGTTTGGGTAGATAGAGAAAACTGGCTGCTGTTCGACTGGAATTGGCAATAATAAGTTCATTCATTGCTTTCACAAAATCATCTGGTGCTTCGTAATAATCCTGCATCTGTGAGCCGTCATAGTCTAGTTCTATGTATGGACTCCGCATGTAGGGCTGAAGATGATCCCAGGATATCACCTGAATCTTGGCAATGATCCGAAGCTGGCGTAAGAACATGTCTAGTTTTTGTTCCTTCTGAATTGTGTTATCAGTTTGTGCATTCACCATGAGGAACACCCGTAGAGTGGTCTTAGATTTCCAGCGGGGCACCATGTTAAGAATACAGGCCAGTTGAAGGAGGAAGAGGCAGGTGTTGTCGAAGTAGCTGGCAGTCTCCGGACGGAGCAAGTTCACCGGCCACACATCAACATACGATTCCAGATCAGATTCAAGGATTTCCATTTTATTCATCTGGTTAAAATGGCGACAAAGACAGAGGTTCTTTCCCAGTTTGATGCAGTCCTTTATCATGTTGACATATTCTGTCTCCGATAATATATTTCTTGGACTTGACCCATCACGAGGTCCACCGAAGTAGCCCTCAATTTGATTAAAACTTCCAACTTCCACGTTTCCAAAGAATCTTCTCCGACGAACTTTTGTTTTAAGTAATGTATCTTGGGGTTCAGAGGAATCATAAAAGCCGAGACAGACAGTGTTTGGTTTCATTCCGCCAAGTCCAGATACTCGGACAAGATGCTGCAGCCCTTCTCGAACACTATTGGCAAGTGTGAGCTCTGCAAATGCCTTTATCTTGAGATGATCAATGAGACTAAGCCAATGAGACTGGGAGTCAAGGATGGGGTCAGTGGGGTAATCCTCCAGCCGGCCAACCTTCACATGGCCGATGACATACAGCCCACTCTTCTTAATGTCGTTGATGAAGTCCATGAGTTCACAGCACTGTCTTGGGTTGGCCACCATGAGCAGAATCTGTGGCCTCCAGTACTTGACGTGTGCCTTGCGCGAGTCCAGCATGAGGAGGTACTTGCGGACCTGATGGAAGATGAGTGCCTGGCTGATGGAGCCCCAGGAGGTGGGCAGGGAGCGGAAGTGCAGCAGGATGACCAGCATCAGCATGATGACCAGTGCGATGGACGTGTAGATGGGGCTGATGAGGAAGCACATGACCATGCACCCCACCAGACCCAGGCCACACGTGTACCAGGTGAAGTAGCGGAAAGTAGGTCTGTGGACAGAGAACACCTACATGTAAGGCTGCAGTCATAGGCAATTGGGTGAAGGGAAGCTTCTGGTGTTAATGTTGCTCAAAACTTCATGAGCACATGACTATTGGGCTGGGTAAGGGGAGAACATTTAAGTGAGTATAAGACCTTTAACACTGCAGATAGCAATAATCAAGCTGCATCACAGTGACCTATAGGCCAGGCAAACCAGTGGTTGTCAGCATGAGCACCGATCCATGCTGTACCCTATGACACACAAACAACCCGGTCAAACCACGGGTCTTCATTTATCGGCTCTGTGACCAGTTTTCAGTAAAAGAATGGCCATCCCAGGGGTAAGCAGTAAAGTCCTAAAGTGATAATTAACATAACAAAATATGCACATTCTCAACTCTCTAGTCTTCAAAACACATGAAACATTGATGGTTTTCTGAACTATAGAACTTAAAAAGTATTGAATCACATTCAGGTGATGTTGGTTCCTACCTGAAGTTGGGTGCAGACGCCAATTCGAGAGCCAGGCAGGCAAGATTAGTGGCAGCGTATGACATAAGGAAGAACACTGAGGTTACCGGGGCAATAGCATTCAGGGAGCCAATCAACAAGATGCACTGGAACAAGAACACTGCATGTTATTTAGAATAGCTTATATATTATCAATGCAAGGAATATCTATTAACAAGATGAAATTGGACCCATCATCATATTCCATGAAAACGTTTAATCCGTGATGTCTTTATGTGTGAACATACCTGGACCAAGACCCACGAGATGATGACAGCCATGAAAGGGTTACCGCCCTTGGTGGTTATTGTTGCTGGCTTCAGGAAAATCCCTGGACAAATATATCATATTTTTCTTTAGGGTTAAGCAATACTGGAAGCAGTGTCAATACATTTGACAAAAATTCCCCCAAAGGAATCAAATATTTCACAATTCATGCCATTCTACTTATAACTAATGTCATGGTCTTGTAGGTGACTTGTATATGACCGACAACAAGACTAATATAGAAGAGGCTTTAATGTTAATTTAACAATTCAATGGTAAAATACCTCTGAATTTATTAAACTAAGATTTTTTATACACAATCCTAATTTTTAGGACAATAATGATTCTTCCCAATTTTCCTGCCAAGTCCACTGAGTTTGAAATCAAAGACATATCCCTCATAGTATTAGTATGATCATTTTGTGTTAGCCTGAAGAACTTGTGACAAAATTCAAGAATTATTCAATCTTACACAGCAAATAATTCTGTAGTGTAACTTACAAAACAGCTGATCCACTCCAAGGGCCTCCAATATACGAGAAGCACCTATAAGGTTTCCAAGGGCCGCAGACAGAGTGGCAGCGAAAATTCCAACCACTACAAACGGTGGCCATCCATTGATTTGTTGCAGGAACACGTAGTCATTTTTCAGAAGGAACCTGGGGGAAAGTTGGCAATCGTGGTGAAAATGTCCTTCACAAATATTACATAAAACACTGAAATATTTGACATTTTGTTATCATGGTTATTTGATTCACTCCTGAATTTTTGTTAATGTAAAATGACTTTAGTACAATAGAAAGTTCTCCTACTGAATGTGATGCGAGAGTTACCTGTACTGACAAGGATGGTGTCAAGACAGCATTAGGGCACTCACCTGGAGCAGGATCCCCCGATGAGGATGGAGAGTATCATGTAGGCGATGAAGGTGAAGCCCACAGCTGACAGCGTCCCCTTTGGGATGGATTTACTGGGATCCTTCAGCTCTCCTGAAGTGAGGAATGCACTGGTATAGAGGGGGCACAATAGTCACCACCGTCACTCTCCACATTGACCAACTTGGGCATATATCACAGCACTGTAATAAACCTTACACTGCAATCAGGGCCTTCAGAAACATCATCAACAAAAGCAGCCTCAAACAACAGTATGTCACATGCATTGAATGCCATTAATAATGTGTTTCAACAAATCAGATTGTACACTAACATAAGTTATCCAAAAGCCAAACAGGAACCATCACATTTCCCCGATTTCCGGATTCCATTGATAACACAGATGATGGTCCATAGTGCAGCACCACTGACCAGTTTTTTATTGGCTTGTACGTAAAGCATTTTAATTATGGGGAAGACAAGGGAGGGACTAATAATTTGTAACCTCTGGGAACTAATTGGTTATCAAAGCTATGCATAATTAATATTAAATACAGAAATAAACAAATGATAAACGCATTATGAAATATACTTCTAGTTGAATTATTTCTTAAATATGACAAATGGATTATGAAAAGCATCACTTAAATATTGATAAAGGTTGAAACTGTGAAACAAAATTTTAACTAAAAAACAATTTGTGCCAATGCACATCATAGTAATAAAACTAGGTACGGGATAAACACTGGATGTAACGGACGCTGTCCCAGAAACCATTAACATGTATATTTATAATGCCCCATATAACACACTAAAGCATGCTACATTATTACTCCAGTCAAGGTTCAGTGTGCACTCAATTTTCATTTAAAGCTCTCCCCATGGAAATAACAACCTGGCCACGTTAACAGTGACATCCTGCCAGGTACCCATTCACTACTGGGTGAACTGAGGCATAATTCAACAAAGTCACTTGCCTAGGGAGACACTACATGTGTTACATGTCCATCAGTGCACTCAGGAGTCAATCTGCCCACGCAGACACTCTTCCATCTACACTCTTAGACCAACATGACTTAACTACAGCTGCTATGTGACCTGGGTGCAGTACGTGAGACCACGTGCCTTCTTGACGGACAATAGACTACATCCTAACAATAAATCAGTGTTTTCACACATAACTGCCACTGCTAATAAGGAGTGGAATTACCATGTGTTGAAGTGTTTTACTGACAAATCTGTCCAGTCGTATGAAACTGTATCAACAGCTGCTGCAATCAATAACAACCTGACTGGGTCAGGCCACACAGGGAAACAGTGCCACAGCTGGCACTGAACACATGCAGGATGCAACCACAGCCATCTACAGACAAGCCTAATGTCAGGTCTATGTATTAATGGAATGATGCTTTTTTCAACCCAAAGTTGTACAGGGATTGATGAGGGCAAGAATATGATACAGGTAATTAAAAAGATAATTATGGAAAATAGGCCATCTCTTTGTTTTCTTTGTATCAGGTCTGTTTATTTTTTACTAAAATAAAAATAAAATCTATAACAAGCTATTTGAGGACTAAACTGTGTTAGTTGGAATATTTTTGTTGAAGAGTAGAAGACAATTTCCTCCTTTAGCCTTACTAGTGAGTGAGGTTGGTTCACTGCTGTGAACTGTACACAAGTTGTGTCACGGTCACTTAATGTGGGAGGAAAGCCCTAACTGATGCAGGTTGTAAATGTTTACCACTTTCGTGAAACCATCGAGCACGGATACAGTGCTAACAAACCTAGAAACATAATCGGGGTGAATCAGGATTCAAACTCACAAACATAGGTTTCTGGTGTGCCCAAGAGAGGTAACTCTGCACAGCAAATTGCAGTGCCTGACATGACTGGGCCACCCGTGCCAGCTTTTGGTTTAGTTACCATTGGTAACAGTCATCATTGTCATTAAGATAATACTTTTTCCCACTGAAGATGTTGGGTAAAAAACGGAACCCAGAAACAGAAAATAAAACAACAGTATAATTGCTTCATTTTGCTGTAATCTAGTGTTGGCCAGATAATCCAACCTGTTGCCTGGGTACAAAATAAATGCTTGTCTTGTGGTTATGACTAACAGCTTAATGCTTGCCTGCATAGGTTAGTTCTGTATTAGGGATCTGGTAGACACAGGTGTTTGAAATTAATAGCTGACAATTGACATGTCTCCCTAACATAATTCCGAGGCAGCTGTAATCCAGTATTGTTCATGACAATTTAAGGTGAGGTGACGTGAGATGAAATGGGGTTTAACGTCTCACATTCAAGATAATTGCACTTATAGAGCAATGTGCATGCACGTGTGCTTGTGTTTGTGGCTACTTGTAGTAGTCCGGACTAATGCTGACCAGTCCTTGAATTAGCCCCTAAGTGCCGAACGCCAGGCAGGGTAACAACAAGTACCATCGTTTTAACGTCTTTTTGTACGATGTGACCAGGGATCGAACCCACGACCTTCCGCTCTCCAGGTGGATACTTCACCACTAGACCATGGAGGCGGTCTGCCAATTTAAGAACAGTATGAACAGTGATAAATGCATTAACCAATATTTATTAATGAGCCATTCTTTGAAAGTGTGAGAATCAAACCGTATTTCAAAACTGGCATCCACTTTATAACAAAATTGGCAGAGATGCCCCTCTACATTTCCCTTGGGTCGAAACAGTGTAGTTCCAGCAATGATATCTTCAATTTCTTTATACAACCCATGTTAAATGTTGTGAAAGTGACAAATAGCATAAAATTTGCTAGAGTTTTACATGTCTGTCTCTAACCTGGTTAACTGACTCACCCGACATGTTGGCTCCATTGAGGATGCCTGTGACGCTGCTGAAGAGAATGGCAAACACAGTAGCGAATTGCATGTTGTCCCCGGTGTTGTAATCCACGGTGTAGTTGGCTGTGAGACGGGGAGAGGCAAAGTAGAAACATTGTACATGCAAACATAAATATGTCCTGTTTTCCTAAGAGGTTCAGTATTACAGATCTTGAATATGTACTGGTATGATGTTACAATATATATACCAGTACAGCCAAGTCTTGTTAAGTACACTTGGATAACTAGAAAAAGGGGATAACCTTTGTTAGATCTGGAGCTAATCTTTCATTTGATACCTGATGACTAGGACAGTTTAAGTTTTCAGACAATCTCATTAAAACTCAGATCTTTTACTCTGACATGATAGATAAGAGCACACTTTCATAGTATGTCCCATGCCTATCCTTTACCACACACTGGACAGTTGTTTATTTCCCCTGGTAAGACTGTGAACTCACCAAAGAGGTTTTCCCTGAATGTTGCTGCGTTCAGCCCTGTGTAGTTGCCTGTGATGTTGGCCTGGGCCTCTGACATGTTGGTGTACACCACCTTGTTGGTGAAGGGGATCCGGACATCGATCCGATGGTTGAAGGCGAAGATACTGATGACGACTGACAGCAGACATATCACCACAATCTGAAGAGAAACACAAAGAATATAGGTGTGGAATTTGGTGATACACTTAGATGGGTGGTTAGTTTGTTGTTTAACAGTCCACTCAGCAATAATCCAGCAATGTGATGGCGGTCTTTAAATAATCGAGTCTGGACCAGACAATCCAGTGACAGACATCAGCATCACAACTGGGATCGATGACATGCATCAACCAAGTCAGCGAGTCTGACCACCCCAACCCCAGTTGTCTCTTATGACAGGCATAGTCGCCTTTTACAACAAGCATAGGTTGCTGAAGACCTATTCTACCCCGGATCTTCACGGGTGCGATACACTTAGGGCCATGCATAAATGTGTTTGTGAGTATATGAAGAATGTGTGATGATGATTTGACAAGAGGTATATTTGTTTTGCTACATTGTTCTCCTCACACACACCCTTCCAGTAACTGTCATATGTAAAATTCAGATTCAAAATTATATGAAAACTGAATATCACATATAAGTCCAAAATTATATAAACGGAACCCATACAAATTTAAAACTACATCCCGACATGAGATCTACCTGCCACTGGCCTACAGGCACGCGCTTATTTCAAACAGTGATGACATCTCATGACAGTTTGCTGACGGATGATAACTTTCTCTCCAAAGTTTCAAATTGTTTTCCACTGTGAGAAAGGCAGAAGCTACTCACCAGAAGAATGAAAGCTGAGGTCCTGGCAAACATGGCCCCCCCAACCAGGCAGACGAGGAGGCAGACGATGGAGACGATGGTGGCGTACAGGTACTTCCACCAGGCGTTGTCATCCGGCAGCCCAGAACTGTCATCCCCGATCAGGGACCCTGGTACACACAGTGGGTCAAATGTAGGATAAACTCTACTTAGTAGCAACAATGTCATCGTTTCTGCTGGTATCAATACAAACACTTAACAAAATGACATTGTGGTCATATTGAAGTAATCATTAGATTTTTTTTATCACCTTTTTGCAAAAGTATGTATCAGTGATTCCAGTGGCATTCCTATCTAACAGTCATGTGGACCAGTAGCAAATGAAAATACCGGTCCTGGCTAAAATGTACTCGTCCCTTGATCGCTAATAAAAGTTTTAAGACTATGTATGAAACCTGTTTTTGAACAGCCATATTGATAGTGATTTGTTGCGTTATAACGACTTGACAGTGCACACGTCCGACTTGCCAAGTGAAGTACTGTACACCTGTCAGAACAGTCCGTCATCACTCTGATGCTTGGTGCACGTGTCATAATGAAAAGGAAGAGTAAAATAGTGTGTACACTATAACTTGACAAACATTCATACTTTGTAAATAGGTTCAAAGTTTCATTAACTTCTTGAGTTGTAATGCCAACCTGCAAGAATTATGTCAAGAACTGAGCACAAAAAACAAGGCTGTTCACTCATGGAAACCAACGAAAGTACCAAACCAATCAGCATGATCAGGTGTCCCAAAACAGGTGACGTCATTCAAGTGCAGTGGAAGTGCAGTACAGACGAGGCAATGGAGATCACGCCTTTTATGAAGGATTTGTTTTCTAGCGGAATATATGTGAATTCTACTGTTGAAAACATCATCTACCAGTATGAACACAGCAATTGAGTGTCCACTGTTCTAAAATAGGGTATGCAGGAATATTAAAAATGATACAAAAACATTGATTCAGACATTTCGTTTGGAAGAGTTGACATGCAACAACAAGGGTATTAGAGTTGGGCTCATTAACCTGCATATTTAATATCATCATATTGTTCAGATAGTCTTTGATTGAGGCGGTTTTGACAAGCACCACGAATACGGACTGTTCTGAAGGTTAAAGCCACATTCAGCTGATACACAGCTGACTGGAACAGTGAGGGCTAGGGCTGCTAAAATAGTGAAGTCTGGGGGTGTACTAAACCTGCAGTACCAAGCCCAGTCACAGCAGTTTTGAAACTACCCAAATCTTGGTTTGCACTGTCCATGCTGTCACCACTGATTATCTCTGTGACGTTATTATCTTGTCAACCAAACACAGGTAATGTCTTATGACCCGTCATTTTGATATTATGTCAAGTATGCATTTGGAAAATCTCCCTTCTTTACGACAGCGCATATGAAGTTTGTGGTGTATGTTGAAGAAACAAAGGTCACACAAGAAGTTCAAATCAAAACGTCGCTATCGCAGTCACTATCAAGTATCATTTATTTTAGTATTGGCTGATATTATGCGCTATTTTCAGAATATAGAAAATTGGCATGCCAGCTTTTGAAAGAATGGTTTAATGTTTACAGCTATTCACAGGATCTGATATGCACTTTTCAAAGGAAATTACTAACGGACCCTCAATTTTACCAGTCTGAGGCATACTTTATTTAGCGGTCAATAAACGATAAATACCGGAGGACGGAAACACTGTAAATTGTACTGTTATTGCTGAAATTGACCCTGTCAACCAAACAAAAGGCTCCTTTCAATTGACAAAAATTACATTGCCAAATTACAGTCTTCAATAATTAAAATAAATGAGGTGAGAACATTTCATTAAAATCCTTCAGTGAATTCTTACAAAGCGGTACCTTTTCTGCCACAGCAAATTATGAAAATAATTCAGATGCAACAGAAGCACTGATAATCCTGTCATTACATTATTTCTGGTACAGATGACACAAGTTTCACTTGAGCCTTACCTACATCCTGTACATTCAAACCTTGTCCACAACTTCCTGGTGTGACCATCAAATCATTAACATGGTTAACCCCTGGATACACACATAGATATATATATACATATAGATTTGGAAAACTGAACATTGTACTAGAATTGCGTCCGTGTAAAATCTCAATTTTGCTTTGCTTACATTTCAAAACAAGTACAGTTTTCCAGGGCACAGCCTTGATTTTCACGCCTTCATGTCACTTGACTTCCCCTAGACAATTTGTATTAGTGACAAAGACCATTTGTCATTTGATTTTAGAATGTATGAGGACTTCGGGGATGTATGTTGATGAATGTTGAGAGTGAAATATATGTAATGTAATATGCATCTCATAACCGGCATACATGAAACGTGATTATGTAAACAGTATCCAATATGGTGGAAAGTTCACTCCAGCATTTGTGTTTGCATATTTTCCAAAAACATTCTTACCATTCTAGGATTATATAAGAGAAGAAACAGACACCCATGATCACTTACATGCTATTTTCATAATTAATTCTCAGAGTATATTTTTCAATATTTAGATTTCAAGACATACATGAAATAACGCTGTGAATGGTGATTTAGTAATATGTAAAAAATGGCAAGATTTACAATTTATTTAAGTTTCAGCTCATTTTCAGTATTTTTGCTTTGCCTGAAAGACAGCGGATGATATCGCAGAATTCAAAATAGTGGGTGTATTTTGAATGTTATTCGTCTTCAAAGTGGGTGTTGAGGAGAGACATATATGTCCCTGTGGCATCCAGGGTTTAAAAACTAACGAGGAAGGATGCTTGCACCTGAGTAGTCTCAGTTTCGGATCAAGACATGAACTTACCTCCTGGGCCAAAGTTCTGGAGTATTCCTTCCACAAAACCACTGATGTAGAGAGCACATGCCATCACATTGGCTACAAAGAACAGAAATCCAATACTACCCCCAAACTCGGGGCCCAGGGCTCGACTTATCATGTCTGGAACAGGGTCAAGGCTTTAACAGAAACAATATCACACATGTACACCCGACTCAGGTTCTGAGGTGCTACAGTCACCAATAGTACACCTGTACGACAGCAGTCACAAAGCAATGGAGTCTGGACCAGACAAACCATGGATTGATATAATTATTCTGGATAACAATCTGCACCATTGGAGTATGAGGACATGCAATCGAGTCCAACCACTCAATCCACTAATCACATGTACGACAAGCATATGTTGCTGGTGACCTAGTCTAATCTGGAATCACCACTGGGGTCTTAACATCAAAATCCAAAATAATCTATAAAATAACTAAATTAGTACTGAGAAACCTTCCATTTTGATCATGTACATTCTAAATTTTCTCACTTCTAAGCTTTCCTGATCACTTCATACAATTCAGTGCTATAGCACAAAATCAAACTTAGTTCTTGTATGAAATATACAGGTGTATATTGATAACAGTGGAGCATTATTTTTCACAAACTTCGACACACGTTTCCTCTTAAACTGATTCTCATTTACAAAATTTAACAAAAGTTTAAGTCAATGTTTTGAAACAAAACGGACTGATGATAATCCTATATACATGTACCATGCATATCAAATGCTTTCTATCAACGCCAGATATATTTTCTTTCTCATACAAATTGCCAGCTACCAACAATCTAACTATAAATGTTAACTGAATTTAATTGACCAATCATACTTAATTCCAACTGGACAACAAATTGACCAATGAGTAGAAAGGATACAATAAGCTCCTCCCCCTTCCACTGCACCATTGGTGGAGATAGCACATATAGACAGCACGGTCAGCACCAGGATCATGTAGGCCAGTATCAATTGGGCAATTGTCTCAAGGATGCCTGCTTGTCCAACCACAAAACCTGAAACAGTTAATACCAACATAAACACATTGAACAACAACACTTTATCATGTTATTTGTAATGAGTAGGTTCCTCGGGAGTATAAAGGAAATCGGATAAAAATGTCCCCAACTGTGACAATTGTGAAACAATTTGGCGAGGACACTAGCTAACCTAGCTGGATCAGTTTCCATATCTGTGCTTGTAGATCTCTGCGGGTTGGGGTCTTTTCCCCAATGGACACTGGGATTTGGCCAAAATATGTCCGAATTGTTACCTCGTTTCATTTTGTCGATGTGTGCACGTCTGACTGCATTTCGTGAGTTATGCCACTGTCTAAAAACAGGTTTCAGTTGGGACTATATTGATTGTTGTCACTGTCCGACTGACTAATCATGGACCTTCTGACATAATACATATTCATGTGCACATTTCAGGACAACTTACAATGTTTATTACCGTTTGTAAGACATGAGGACAGTTTGTTTTACAACAAAAAATAAGAATGACATTATATGATAAAGAGGTTACCACGTTTGTGTATCACTCGCATGACAACCTCTATGTACACATAGTAGTCATGCTGGGGTACAACAGCAACTCAGGGATTTATCTAGACCTGCCCAGAGGTCCAATTTCGGCACCACGTCTGCAGCAAATGTGGTAAGACTTCCCAAATTGACTTACAAATTTCCCAATTCCTCAGATTTAAAAAAATAAATAATAATAATATAAAAAAATCCAATTTTGAAAAGTATCACAATATTTTCCACTTTGCCTGCCAACATGCCAAGGGCACTTATCTTAGTTAAGAAATCAAATTTGGAATTTGTTTAGCATTAATAAAAGTACCATCAACCTTGAACTCAAAATACAAATGGTAGACAAGACTTTAACTTGTCCTAGATACTATTGTGATAGTATATGAGTATCCTTATCTTCCCACAATGCCAAATTCTCTGCTTCATTTGACGAGATGCGAAAACCCAATATATCCACTTTTTCCAAGAATGCCAAGTTTTTGTGTGCTGCTGTAGCCATGATGTTAGGCAGACTGATACAAAGTTATACATTAACTTTTGTTTTGGCTATCTGAACTATTGACTTCCTGATGCATTGTCAAAGGTGCTACAACTACAAGGACAACCATTAGTTAAATCAATACCGATAGTAACACTCCTAACCAACACCATGAACAGCAAGGTTAAACATCCTTGACATCTGTGACAAGTATTGCATAGTTCTAACCAGTGACTGTGACACAAAAAGCTGGACCCAAGAAATGCCCATGTCAAAAGTCCATAAGTCCATGTCAAAAGTCCATAAGTCAAATACACAAAATTGGTGGACGAAGCAAAACAACAAATCAATGCAATACTGTATGTGATTAGATAACTACCGGTACATATGATCTGGCCAATGAACATCACAATGGCTGCGTCACCATAGCTCCTGACAGTTTACCCAATGATATACAGAAAGTATGATGGAAAGACATGTGGACCTCAGAATTTCAATTACAATTTTTGCTAGCTGTGCATTGTTTATTAAATCAATACTGTAAGTATTGGTATTTCTATCGCTCAAAATTCCCACTACTTAAACAAGCCATCTGTCAAATTGAAATTATATTGTTCCATGATCGCTGACTCCATGTCTTATGCCATTTCTAATAGTCAGGCCTACCTAGCATGCCCTGGTTCTGTAATTACATACAAATAACCATGGAAAGCTACCTGTAAACATGGTAAATAAACGGAAATTGAAATATACTCACAGATGTGAGATAGAAACTGTTATAATTCAAAGGAAAATATTGTACACACTAAAACATAACACCCAGCATACTGCACACATTCAAGAAAGTCATGTATTTGTGAGTCAGACTGTGATTCATCGGATGAAATCTGCCATATGTGATATAGACATGTTTCCACCGCTTCCCATCTGGCTGTTGTGGTATTGACTCACATGACACATAAAAACTTGGGGATTGTGATGTTTTTATTTAAAGATATTTTCAAGTCCCAAAGGAATTAGATATTTAACATACACAACAGAACACATCACCAAAGAGGCTTGAGGAGCAGCTCATATACTTTCAATAACATATGTGTACTGAACATTCTCATTGAATTGTGTCTGGATCTTAACATGCTACCTCCAATGCTACAAACACTGACACATTACACTGCATATACAGTAAACTATGATTATAACGAACACACTCAAACGAACTGATGGATATAACAAACTGTGTTTTGGTCCCAGCCATTTGCTGTATATATGCTCATAAACTACCATTATAACAAACTAACATTAGCAATGATTAGTGGTCCCTTTGAGTTTGTTATAAACCTAGTTTACTGTATATCAATGATTACACATATATATATATAGAAACCAAGGTGGAATTGGATTTCTCAAGAACTATTGAAATGTGGGTTACAAAGCAGCATACTGAGTGCACAGTCCACATGCTCGCGAGTCACTTTCAACAACTCCCCATGTAATCACTTTATTTCAGGCCACAATGTAGTCACCCTACAATAAATGCTTTCTTCATTGGTTTGGTTCACTGATAGGTCATAGCTGCATTGCATCTCCATCATCTGTTTATCATGCTTTGAACAAGCAAATGCAGCATGTTTGTACAAATAATCATTTTCCTGCCATCTTATTATAGCCTGCTAAATGCAACAAGTTACAGTGTTAGAAATTGGCACTTGTCCTAGCCAAAATACCCAATAGTTAATGTATCATAAGGACTCGTAGAAATTTGCCATTTTTTAGGGTTTTGCTATATGTTATCATTATAAGGACTAGAGGACAAAAACTATTACATGTAGTTTCTATCCCTGCGTTATATCGACACACTTGGAAGATAAATAAATACCGTAAGAACTTATGTACTGCTTCTTCTGCAATCATGGTAATCACTACAACCAATTAACAGGTTCAAACTTAAAGTGTTTACAATATGGAAGGTATATTTGTTTCCCAAATCTTTCACATCACATGACAGTCATGACCAAATGCACATGTTGTTGACTCAACAAGACCAAGCGATGTGACCTCTCGGTCTGCACAATGGCTACAGTGTTTAGTCATGTACCAGTGTCATCAACCTATGATAGTCACCTTTATCTGGGGTGACACTGTATACCACCTGTTTACATAAGAATAGCACGGTCACTGTATCTGTCAGTAGTCTTACTGGATGTTAACTTGATCTTGTTGGATAAGATGACAAGATGCCTTAGATCTGAATATAAACCATGTTGAAACTCACTGGGTATAACGATGTTTTATAAAGACCAGTTTTATGTACATAATGTAGAACAATGCCGGCTTGTTGAACAGGAAATTATGATAACCCTAACCATCCTGGGCCTGCTTCCCCCTGGTAGTTACTGAATGGGGGATAACAACATGAAATGATCTTCTAAATGAATATAATTTCAGATGTACTTGTTCCAGTTAAACATATATGCAAGATATATACAAATACTTTATCATGATAATTTCCTGTAAAATGGAGAAATTGTTACATCATAATATAAAAACTAAGAATTGTATCAATATTCTTTTGCTACCCTACTTAATTACAAAGGACCAGTAGAACAATTTTTATGTTGATGAATGAGTCTCCTCACTGACACCTCATTCCACCCTCAATCTCCATAACTCCCCCAGCATTCCTCCCTCAGCCTCCAGCCTAACTCCCCCAGCCTAACTCCCCCAGCATTCCTCCCTCAGCCTCCAGCCTAACTACCTTGTCATTCCTCCCTCAGCCTCCAGCCTAACTCCCCAGCCTAACTCCCCCAGCATTCCTCCCTCAGCCTCCAGCCTAACTCCCCCAGCATTCCTCCTTCAGCCTCCAGCCTAACTCCCTAAGCATTCCTCCCTCAGCCTCCAGCCTAACTCCCCCAGCATTCCTCCCTCAGCCTCCAGCATTCCTCCCTCAGCCTCCAGCATTCCTCCCTCAGCCTCCAGCATTACTCCCCCAACCTTCCTCCCTCAGCCTCCAGCCTTACTCCCCCAGCATTCCTCCCTCAGCCTCCAGCCTAACTCCCCCAGCATTCCTCTCTCAGCCTCCAGCCTAACTCCCCCAGCATTCCTCTCTCAGCCTCCAGCCTAACTCCCCCAGCATTCCTCTCTCAGCCTCCAGCCTTACTCCCCCAACCTTCCTCCCTCAGCCTCCAGCCTTACTCCCCCAGCATTCCTCCCTCAGGCTCCAGCCTAACTCCCCCAGCATTCCTCTCTCAGCCTCCAGCCTAACTCCCCCAGCATTCCTCTCTCAGCCTCCAGCCTAACTCCCCCAGCATTCCTCCCTCAGCCTCCAGCCTAACTCCCCCAGCATTCCTCCCTCAGCCTCCAGCCTAACTCCCCCAACATTCCTCCTTCAGCCTCCAGCCTAACTCCCCCAACATTCCTCCCTCAGCCTCCAGCATTCCTCCCTCAGCCTCCAGCCTTACTCCCCCAACCTTCCTCCCTCAGCCTCCAGCCTTACTCCCCCAGCATTCCTCCCTCAGGCTCCAGCCTTACTCCCCCAGCATTCCTCCCTCAGCCTCCAGCCTAACTCCTCCAGCATTCCTCCTTCAGCCTCCAGCCTAACTACCTTGTCATTCCTCCCTCAGCCTCCAGCCTAACTCCCCCAGCATTCCTCCCTCAGCCTCCAGCCTAACTCCCCCAGCATTCCTCCCTCAGCCTCCAGACTAACTACCTTGTCATTCCTCCCCCAGCATTCCTCCCTCACCCTCCAGCATTCCTCCCTCAGCCTCCAGCCAAACTCCTCCAGCATTCCTCCCTCAGCCTCCAGCCTAACTACCTAGTCATTCCTCCCTCAGCCTCCAGCCTAACTCCTCCAGCATTCCTCCCTCAGCCTCCAGTCTAACTCCCCCAGCATTCCTCCCTCAGCCTCCAGCCTAACTACCTTGTCATTCCTCCCTCAGCCTCCAGCCTAACTCCTCCAGCATTCCTCCCTCAGCCTCCAGCCTAACTCCTCCAGCATTCCTCC